GGCAAACACCCTACCCGCTGTGCTATCGCTCCAGCCCAAAACGGGAGCGATAGCACAGCGGTAGGGCGTTTGCCTTACAAGCGGCCAACATGGCCGACCCGAGTTCGATTCCTCCGCCCCTCTCGGAGAGCCTGGCAAGCTACCGAGAGTATTCGATATGCCAAACACAGTAACAACAAAGTCTCCAATGGAGACGTCACTGGGCCCGCTTGAGCAAATCGACGATCAACAGGAGGGCCTTTACCTTTTTTTAATTTTAATTTTCTTATTTTAATAAATCACCATGAGATACATTTACAGACTTTCATGATTGCATTTCAGTCAAACAATGTTCAAGTACCCACCCCTCCATCAGTGCCCACTCTCCACCCCCAATGTTCCCAGTATCCCTCCCTCCACCCCCACCCCTTCCCACCTTCTGCCTCTGTGGCAGGCATATTCCCTCTTACTCTCTCTGTCTTTTAGGGTGTTATGGTTTGCAATACAGATAACAAACAGCCATCATGTTTGGTCCATAGTCTATTTTCAACATGCATCTGCTATCCTGAGCGATCCCTCCAACCATCATTATTTAGAGCTCCTCTCTCCATCCCAGCTAATTTTGCCCCCAGCACATGAGATCGGATATCACACCGTGGGGCAGTCCTCCTGATCCTTGTTTTAACTGTCCTTAGGAGTTAGTCTCCTATATGTTACCTTATATTCCATAAATGAGTGCAGTCCTTTTACGTCTATCCCTCTCTTTCTGACTCATTTCACTTTGCATGGTACTCTCCATGTTGATCCACCTATATGCAATTTTCATGACTTCATTTTTTCTAACAGCTGCATAGTATTCCATCATATAGATATAACAAAGTTTCTTTAACCAGTCATCTGTTCTCGGGCACTTGGGTTTTTTCCAGATTCTAGCTATTGTAAATAGTGCTGCCATAAACATACAAGTGCAGATGTCATTTCTACTATACTTTTTTGCATTTGTGGGATATATTCCCAGAAGTGGTATTGCTGGGTCAAATGGGAGCTCGATTTCTAGTTTTTTGAGAAACGTCCATATTGTTTTCCAAAAGGGCTGGACCAGTCGGCATTCCCACCAGCAGTGAAGGAGAGTCCCTTTCTCCCCGCATCCACACCAACACCAGTTGTTTTTGTTCTGGATGTGGGCCAGTCTCTGTGGTGGTAATCAACATTTTTAAGCTATCAAAAAAAAATTTAAGCTATAGTATGTTTTATAATAGTGTTGAGAATATGCACTGCTTTTGGAAGTAAAGACTGTTAAACACACCAGTCTCTTAAGTATTTTGTTTCTGTAAAAGCGAATCTAATAGCAGAGTCCCAATATAGCTTAATCAAAACAGAAATTAAGTTCATATATACCTGGATAATCTTGGGCTGGAGCAATAGCACAGCAGGTAGGGTGTTTGCCTTGCACGCGGTCAACCCGGGTTCGATTCCTCCATCCGTCTCTGAGAGCCCGCAAGCTAGGGAGAGTTTCCTGCCCACACAGAAGAGCCAGGCAAGCTCCCTGTAGTGTATTCAATATACCAAAAACAGTAACAAGTCTCACAATGGAGATGTTACTGGTGCCCGCTCGAGCAAATCAATGAACAACAGGACAGTGCAGTGCAGTGCCAGGGACTGAAGCCTCATCCCATCACGTGAAGCCTGTGCTTTATTGTGGAGTCACACCCTTGCCCGTAGTTAGTAGGGAACTTTCATCAGCATGTTTCTTCCATGTGAAAGTTACATGTGTTAGGAACATGTTGCACCACTTAGGTGGGTTGCTTGGGTCTCTACTCGTGGAGGATTCTAGTGAGACACCAGAGGAAACACTCTTTGGAGTTACCTAAGAACCAAGTCACATCAAACTCATACCCCAACTGATAAAGACTAGCCCTTCCGATGTTCCGGAAAATTCATACAGGCATTCTAAAGAAAGCTTGTATTTTCAATACAAGAAATGACATAACCACTGAGTGATGCTATTTATAAAGCCCAAACAAACTACCTTCTTCCGTTTCCACAATAAAAAATTTTACTATTTCTAAATAAAGTCAAAAGTTTTTAACATTAAAAATTCATTACATTTTTATAAGTTATATCCTGGAGCTTCTAGCCACATGTTCTAAGTATCCCCTCCCAATAAATGCACATAGCACAGATAAAGGTTATAGTCACTGTTTTGAATTACTGACAAACTTAGAAAAAGCAATTAATATATACAGATGGTTGGACGTACTGACCACCTATGTGTTAACACTAGAATTCCATCATGTATTAGAGAAGTAAACAATGAAAAAAAAATAGAATTCATTCCTGTCCACAAGACACTTTGTGTTAGGGGCACAACCTATGGATTTTCCTCATGCAGTCAGGAGGTCTGGGAACTGCTTATTTATGACACTATTGAATAACCTTGACCCTAGCATGTTGCCTTCCTATAGAAAGAAAACAGACTGTGTCAGTATGAAGGGCAACAGCAGTCCAAAGAAGAGAATTAACAACTTCAGCACTTAAAACAAACCCTGTGTCTGTGTTCTGTTCAAGGAAACAGAAACATGAGGTCCAGGTCAGGCCCAGGCACTCATACACTGAGCCCTTCCTTGCATTCCCTACTGTGAACCTTTTTTTTTTTTTTTGCTTTTTGGGTCACACCCGGCGATGCACAGGGGTTACTCCTGGCAGTGCTCAGGGACCATATGGGATGCTGGGAATCGAACCCGGGTTGGCCGCGTGCAAAGCAAACGCCTTACCTGCTGTGCTATGTCTCCAGCCCCCCTACTGTGAACCTTAACTGCTCCTCCCATGGCTCTCAGGACAGTTTTCTCATTTATCCCATCTGAGAGCACTTTGCCTCAGTGTCACTCCACGTGACCCACCACACCTTTCATCACACGACTATAGCATACACAGTGAGGGTGAGAACTCACAATTCTTGTGATTTGCTTACTTACCACATTCCAAGTTCCCAGTATACTCTATATTATCGGATATATGATAAACTGTGTTATTTTTTTCTGCTGGTTTTGGGGTCAGACCCAATGGGTGCTCAGGGGAACATGGGTGGTACTGGGGATCAAATTTGGGTTGGCCACAAGTGCCTTAACCCCTGTACTATCTTTCTATCCCCAAAACTGTTATTTTTTTGAAACTGGTTCCAGTCCCAAATGCCTTTAACAAAAACTTGATTATTCTGCTTATGCGATTGACCTGTGTTTACTCACATTTCTTTTCAACAGATACCATATGGGCATACATCATCTTCAGGAAAAATTTCAAACAAGACTCTGAATAAGGACATCGGGAGAAATGTGCAAGAACAGAATGTAACTGATACAATTTTTCTAAACAATATTCAATTTAGAGTTTTATGGCCAACAATATGAAAATCTCACATCATACTTCTAATATTTTACCATAGTCTCTGATTTGCCATCTTTCCAAATCCAAATTTAGGGTAGTTCCTAAATTTCAAATCAGCTGAGACACTTAAACACTGATAGATACCAAGAGTCCATTACAGACCTGCTGAGTAAGATTTCCCTGGTCTAGATGATTCCTTGAAATTCAACTTCCTCCTTTAGTAATATCTAATAGCAACGTTTTTCTGAATGATAGTACTGATATCAAGATCTTTATTTAGAAGAAACTTTAGTCCCACTTTATTTCACATCTTAATGTTGTGCACAGCTGGTAAACTGGCAGAAAGGAGGAATGTTACAAAAAATGTAAACATTGGGCAAAGAGACCTGACCTGCACTTCAGCTCTAGAACTGCTGAAAACTGTAATCAGAATATGGCATCTGAGCTTAATCCCCCTACCTATGGTACAAAATGAGCACTGGAAAACAAAATGCAAGGGAAATGTATTACCCAGTGTCCAGTGCTGTAGGAAATATTTTCAGACACAGATGTCTCCTCTCCCCTTTGCCAATGTTTCTTCCTAATGGACCCGACCCATCTTCCCCATTCTAACCAGACATGTCTGTGGTAGTTCTGAAGGCTCACTTGCCATCAGTCCTACACGTGGACTTCTGTCACTGTTATCTGGGGGAACAAAGCCAAATCAACATTTATGTTAATATTCTTTCTACTGTAGAAATAGCATCAGAACACCGTCTATAAACTATCAGCTTCGCATTACAAAAAGCTGTTTATAAATATTCCTGTTAATGCCTAAATCTGCTTCTCTTCTCTCCTAGAAATTGACATTTTTCTTGAGGATAAGAATGTCTTTCATGGTCATCTAGAAGTACCTTTAAAGAATCCGGATTTCTTTTTTTCAACTCTAACAATTCAACTATACTATCTTTTGGCAATAATAAAAATGAAAGGCTTTACAGTGTAAAACATTTGACATGCTCATGGTGGTTCCCAACACCTGCAGAGAAATTCTGATCCTGGTCTTTTTAGGTGTAACAATGTTAAGTCTTACCATGATAACCAAGATTAGACGAGTTTGTACAGTACAAGTAACCTCAAGTACATTCGACTGCCACCATCCGGCCACAGAACTCTTTAATCTTGAAAAACTAAACGCTATTATAAACATTAACCCTCCATTTCCTCCTGCTTGCCAGCTGCCAGCAACCCCCTTTTCATTTTGTCTTCTTGAATTTCCAGGTCAGAGTTTGTTAGTCTTCTGGACGTGGTCCCTTCATCCTCATTTTTCATCTTGGACTTCCACCACGTGTCTACCCCTCTGCCTCCACCACATGGCTTCCTAATCTTATGCTGTGGGTCCCCTTTAACGAAAGTTCTGCATCTGGCCAGTCCCACTGAGAACATCACGGGAATGAACACTCCTGTGGCACTGGCCGGGACAGGCTGCTCCAGGAGCTCACGGAAGTGGAACTGCCACCTGTCGTCCTTTTGCAATATCCATGAGCAGAATGTCTTTCTGTTCCTCCCAACGGCGCACGTCATAATTCCATTCTTTTAAAGGAGGCTGCATATTATTGATTTTTGAGGGGAGGAGGAAAAACAACTCTACACGCCAATTGTAATAGATTATTTTATTTATTAATATGCCTCTAAACATTACATAAATACAGCCTATATTCTACGGTATCAAACATTATTCCAGTAAGAAGTTCAAGAGTAAGGCCAGGGCTGCAGCTCAGTGGTCCAGTGCATGCTTTTGCATGTGAGACCCTGGGTTCAATCCCCAGTATCACAGAAAAGAAAAAGTTCAAGATAACATTGCGGGCTATTTCAAGAAATATTAATACTTTGGCTTTTAGACTAACACCAGGTGAAAAAAAAAAGCAATTCAAAGAATAATTTTCATCTCCTGCTATAATTAACAACAAAACCAAGTAGAAAAATAAGAGTATTTTTAAAAAAAAGATAAGTTATTTTGTGTAAGACTTACTCCTATTCTCTTTACTACATTCATACAAAGTACTCAGTCATCAACTATTTAACATGAGAAGTGGTTCTTCACCTACAGTAAGAACTCATTACATATTTGTTGAATGAATGAATGAGTGATCTATGAAAATGGATTTACTACTTTTATTTGTGCCTTGGGGAATATTTTTTTCAAGTAAGAGCAATAGTAAACATACTGAAGTTCTTGTCTGTAACAATGATATGCCTACAGTGATCGTTACAAATACTACCCCTCCTAGTTAATAATAAATTAATGTGCATTTATCAACCTAAGAAAAATCCTATCTTTCTGCAAAACTAATCCTGACGAATACCTTACTGAGCTTCAAACATTCGCAAGATGATCCAAAACAGGTGCCAGGCACGCAGCACCACAAAACTCCCCTCCCTGGGAGTCCTGCCTGGGGCCCTCCTTCTCTCTTTCCTCTCCCCGACTCGCCGCCTCCCTTCATACACTGGCAAACACCTGCCACTACAGTAGCCACCGCAGATCTTAGCCTTTTCGCCAATGATAGTGTTTTGCTCCTGCCTGGGAGAGAAGGGAGGCGGCAAGAGGTCCAGGCCCCGGCTGAGGGCAGAGCAGAGCCACGTTTCCCAGGGGGTTAGTGGGTCTGGGGCTCAGAACTCGGAGGCCAGTAAACGTCCTTGCTATCCAGGCACATAACCAGACCAAACGACAGAAAAAAAAAAGAAAGAAAAGAAACAAATAAAAACACCCCCAAACCAAGAAACCTCCAACAACAAAAAACAACCACAAAACTGAGCAAGATGATTTTACATAGGAAGTTCTCAGAAAACTATCATTTTGATCCTTTTTAAAAGTTAAACAGCACTGCCACAGAGGCAGATGGGGGGCCGGGCAGAGGTGGTGGGAGGGAAGCTGGGGACACTGGTGGTGGTAAACGTACACCGGTGAAGGGGTGGTGTTGGAACATTATATAACTGAAGCCCAATCGTTAACAACCTTATCACTGTGATTCAATGAAAAAAAAAAAATTAGATGGCACTAAATAGTATACCCTAAAACAAGAGAGAAAAATCAAAAGTCAAAGGTGGCTGTGTCTGAAATATGGAAACGTGGGGTGGAATCAGGCCTAGCTAAATTTCTTAAGTTCCCAAGGAAGCTGGTTTTAAAAACCACTTCTTTGAGTCATTTAGCAGATCTGAGGATGTCACAGCAATGGCTCAGAAAGCCAAGAGTGTACTGACGGTGTCATCATTTTCTTCTTAGGATTGAAAAAAAGGGGCAACTTCACATTTTAAATGAGTTCTCAAATTTTATCTTAATAAAATACCACTGGATAGTAATGGAGATTCTAATTTTATAAAACTTGTCCAAAGGAAGTTTATCAACTTCTCCCAGGCAGTCTAATTTACTACTCCTATGTGCTTAAGTCAATCTAGAAATTTATATCGTACATGATTATCATTTTGATAGGCTTAACTCATACTAAATTGGGTATTATTTTTGATATACATGAAGTTATAAAAATCCATTAACAGTACAAACACATAAACAAAAGCCTTCAAAAACCTAACTGTCCTTCACAGCCAGGCTGTCAGTGAATGACTAATGCAGCACTTCAATGAGCCCCAAGTTTCCGGGAAGCGGGGGCAGCTCCATCTATTGCACGATTCACTAACTACCCCAGCTCTTGGGGCCTGGAGAGGGGTGCGGCTGCATGGAGAGCGTGGCCACCAGCACCCCCTGTCTGAGTACAGGTGCTCCTCTCATCCAAATCAGCTACAGAAAACGGCCTGCTAAACCTTCACCCTCTGACAGTGGTCCAGCCCAGGGCAGGGCCTCATTGGCAAATCACACTGGAGACAGGGTCGTTTAGGGTGGGTGCGAGGAGAGCAGACAGCCTTCACAGAATCCTCCACAGCGACTGGGAGAGAACAGCCTGACGGGATTGTTACCTGCAGATCACAGCACCAGCAGAATCACAGCGGGGGGGTGAGTGACACACCATCACCCGCACCCCAGAGCACTCACACAAACCCCAGCAGCCTTGGGCGTCAGTTCTTAAAGGCTCCACATTTACTGGCTTTAGCAATGAATTCCTTTAGCAGAGGGCCATCCATTTGCCAAAATGCTGCAGTCTGTGTGACTTCTGTCAAATGATTGATGCAAAACTTAAAGCAGAATTCTTCTAAATCCTGGACACACACAACAAAAACAAAAAACAAAAACAAAAACAAAAACAAGAAAAGGCCTTTTTTTATTAACTTTGATTGGAATCACTTCTCTCCAGACCCCACCCCGCCCCCAGGGAAGATACTGGAGGCCAGAATCTCAGTCTATCAACAATCCTGGGTGAGAGAGACACACCACAATTCAGGGAAGACAATGACGGCCCTGCCCTATTCTGGCTCGGACACACACACACAATCCTCAGGAGCACCGCAGTCATCCTCAGAGCACTCAAAATGCTCAGGAGCAACCTGAGTCCAGTATCAATGTTTCTCCACACTTGGAAAAGTCAGAGACAGTAATTAAATGGGCTTATATTTAAGAGAAGAAAAGCACAAGAAACAGAAAAGGGATAGAGGTAAGATCAGTCAAGAGTGGCACACTGGGAACAGAAGCCCAAGGATCGTCCAGTTGGGAGAATTCACTCACCGTGACTGCCTAACTACAATGTCTTCGCTTCTGACACCACAAAGAATACTACTACGACTTCCACCACACTGACTTCTCAGAGTCAACTCAGAGAGGAATATTCATAGGAAACATTTTTTCTCAGTCAGACAAATGGAAATCACCAATTCCCAAGATTCAGAAGCGGTAAGCCGGAACAATGACAATCTCTCTGTCTATGCTCCTATGTCCTTTCATCCCCAGCAAAAAGCTAGTGTTCTGTTTCTTGTTTTAAATTGGAGTCACCGTGAATTACAAAGTTACTCATTTTCAGGCACAGGATGGTCTCAGACCAGTCCAGTTCCCTCCACCAGTATCCCCAGTTTCCCTCCCAGCCCTCTGCCTACTTCTGCAGCTGGCACTTTCCCCTGTGGTTATAGGACTGTTATGAAAGGTGCCGTGCATATCACTTCTGTGTCCCTTCCCTTTCCTATCCCCTCCTTCATGGCCCACACCCCACCCCAGTGGAAAGCTTCATACCAAAGACCAGTTCTCACGTGGTTTCTATTGCTTTTGGGAATTAGTTATGCCCCTTTTATGGTTCTTGGTATCTCACATATGAGACAGCTCATTCTATATCTGTCCCTCTCCCTCTGACTAATGTCACTCAATATGATACTCTCAGGATCCATCCTTGTAGCAGCAAATTGCCCGGCTTCATCTTTTTTAAAGCCAAAGTAGTATTTCATTGTACGTATGTACCAAAGTTTCTTTCAATTTGGAACATAAATGAATTAGATACCCGGTACATATACAAAGACTACTGAAAAGTAAATATGCTGAAGGCTCTCATCTCAAATACATTTTTTAAAAAAGAAATACTAGTCAACGCTTAAGAGTTCTATCAAACCAGAAGCTCAACAGCATTTCAATAATAGGAGAGTGGCTTCAGGTTTCCAGCCTCTACAGAATGAGAACTCTCGGTAACTTGGGAAAGGTCCCCACAAACACTATTCTCTCAATGCAGATCTCTACACAGAAACATTTCCTTATTCTAAAGGTACCTCTGTCCCCATCTGAAATATAGTGCCAGGTCAGTCTATGAAAATAACAAAAGATAAGTTGCATCTATAGCGTGACTGTCAGCTACAACCAGAGTCTTGTATTCAGGATCATCTAAACTGTGTTTAAAATGTCAGCACCATCTCTGGATTCATTTTTTTAAATAAGAAATTCTCAGTGGGATACACAAATACAGCTAAATGCTGTGTTTATGATAAAGTGTTAAACAATTCCTCTCACATCATTATCAAAGAAAAAGCATTACAACTCTGCGTACTATCACCTAATGGCAACCAAACAGCTCTAGGGAGGGAAGTTATATTTAAATGTATTTATAAAAAAAAACAGAAAACTGATCTATCTACACACAACTACATAGTAGGATGAAGTAGCAGACAGTCATAAGCACAAAGTTATTCAAGCCACGAAGCAAACAAGAGCTTTAAATAGTAAATAATTTTATAATTTCCAATTCAAGGAAAAGAAGACACTAAATTCTGGCATTGTGAAACCTCAACACTTCAAGAGACCACTTCACACATGAAAAAAGAGAGCTGTTCAGCTTGTTTCATCAATAAGAGTACAAACTACCTTGAGCAGAGCGTTAAGAACTCTTCTATCTAAAGTAAAGGTGTACTAAAGCGGTGTTTCTAACTACAAGTCAGTCTGAACAGTTACCAAACTGCCTTCCTCTCCTACTGGGAATGCCCAGATTTCTCAGTATTCAGCCAATCAGACGTTTCAAACATTGGAAGTCTAACTTGAGAACACTAGAAACAATCTAACTCTGTGGTGCTGAAAGAACTGAACCTGGGTTAAGGCAGGTATCTGGAAAAGGAAGCACTGACCACAGTTGGAGACAGTAAAACCTGCAGATTCATTCTACAGGTAGATTTACTCAGCAACCATGGCCTGGGCCAGTGTGCCTTGGATGCATGAATCAGAACAATGTCCTTCCGAAAATCCTGAGCTACTATAAGAATGTGCAGGATATTCCACCTCATTCCATCAGTGAGCAGATCTTCAATTACCTAGAAGAAGGTTATGTGACTCACACTCATCCGATAAGTCAGTGACAAGAGGATTTCTTGGACTTAAAACATTTCAAAGAAAGATGAGAAGGGAAACTTGACCAATAGGTGGAAAAACTTCAGAATGAGTTTCCTCAAGGTCTCCAGATGACAAAAATTCTCCAGATGAGAAGTGTAAAACCTCGAGGTGAACTACAGCATTTTTGGTATTTCAGAAAGCAAACTTCGTGTTTATGATATTAGGTAGTGAAATTGCTATAAAGTCCTGACAGAGACAACTCAAATAATCAGACTTGGTATAACCAGCAGAGAAGATCAAAATAAAAACTGCTATACTGAAATAATTCATAAATTTACTCTGAAGATTTAAATAAAAAATAAGTTTTTCCTTTTCCAGTTTTATTTTTAACTAAAACAGAAAACTGATGGTCTTTAACATCCACATTTTAAAAAAATTAATGCAGGGAGTTCATTCTTCAAGCTCATGTTCTCCCTTGAACATGTCTTTTATTTGCTCGTCTGTTTCTTTGTTTGCCTATTTCTACTCTGGAGAAGCCTTGGTTCTCTTTCGAACATGTACTTCTCCCTCTCTTTCCCCTCATATTTTTCTAAATAAATTTCATAAAAACTTTATTTCACCAAAATAAATTAATTTTTGTTAAATGCAGGACAGCAGGCAGGGTCCTTGTCTTGCATGCAGCCAGTGGGTTCAATCCCTGGCACCCCACAACGTTCCCTAAGCACCGGCAGGGGCAGGCCCTGAGCTAATCCCTGAACACCAATGGGTAATGCCCCCCAGCCAACCCTCCCCCAAAGTTGATGCTCCTTTCAAGGGAATTTTTTCCCCAGTCCTTAAGTGTCAGAGCTACAGGAGGTGCTGCCAAGATTCATTCAGATTCACAATCCAGGTGGCCAAAGATTGCCACACCTCTGCCTCAACCAGTTTGGTGACCACAAAAGAAACCTGGAAATCAGAAACCCAGAATTATTTTACAGTATCTCAAGCATAAACTAACTCCAGATCAACAAAACAATTTTAGGTTTTGTTTTTGTTATTTGGAACATGCTTAAATCTTGCCACATGGGACAAAACAAAGGCAGGACTTTCCTTCCCTTCACTGACACCCTCCAAACTCCACCTAATCCTCTGGAAATGATGGCTTACTGATCATGGAAAAATTTTCATTTGACTCTTTCAAAGAAAAAATATTTATATCACTCGGTTTTAGCACTGTTTTCCAATACTTTTCATCTCAAGTCAATTTTGGAATTAGATTCCTGTACATGAATTTATTGTTTCCCACAAAAGCTACAGTATAAGATCTAAGTTGCTCAGTAAATATAATTTGTTTGTTAATGATATATCTGGCAGTACTCAGAGCTTACTCCTGGCTCTGAGCTCAAGGATCACTCCTCATGGTACTTGGGAGACCATATGGGATGCCAGGGACTGACCCTGGGTTGGCCGCATGCAAGGCAAGTACCATATCCACTATCTCTCTGGCTCACAAACAGAATTTTCTAGAAAGTTTTGTACTCAAATAATACTTCCCCAGCTATTTCTTCTAATGTCCAAATATGAAAACAAAACTTCCCAGAAAAGAAAGTGTATAGAGCATTTAAGATTTTTATAATGTGATAAAGAACTGTCCTGAGACAATGTTTTATTTACATTCTCTCTGAATAATATTCATTTGCTAAAGAAGAATTTAAATGTTGCTCCAAGTCCTTTGCCTTTTATTCAAACTTGCAGGAAGTTTGACAATGCAGTCACAACGAAAAAAAAATCACAATAAGCAGCCTACTTTGAAATATCTAATTTGTTGACAACTAATTTACAATTAATATGTCAACACTTGTTTGTTGCTTTCATATGTATATATCTGTTCCAAAATTATCTTGCCAAAAGGAGGGATGGAGGAACCAAAATAATTTTCTTAGAAAAGATGGAACATGAGAAGCAGGTATTCTCTATCTTACTGCCATTTCAGCCCAGAAGGAAGGAAAAAATCATCCATTATCCCCAATTTGAACTCTGAAAATAATAGTTTTTATAGTTAATTTCCATCTGACTTAGTAAGAGCTTTGTGTCTACTGGTAAAGTGTGGCAAAAAACTCTATTAGGAAAAAAATATTTCACTTTATGTTCAATGTAGCACAATTCACAGTAGTAGCTAAAATCTGGAAACAACCTCGGTGCCCAAGAACAGATGAGTGGATGAAGCTATGGAACATCCACACAATGGAAAACTATGCAATTTTCTGCTGCATGGATGCATCTGAGGAGTACCACACGGAGTGAGGTGAAAGGGAGAGGGACAAAGAATGATCTCTCTCTAATATGTGGGATAGAAAGAAACACGGTCGGGTAATAACAAATGCCCAGAGGCAACAGAAAAAGGTCTTCACAGGAAGCTTACCACAAAGGAGGTATACAGAGCAGATGGGGGACAACGGTGGAGGGTGTGGTGCTGGAATGCTATATGCATGAACCCTACTGTCAACAGTAACGTAGACCATGTGCCCAGTAAAGCGTTTCTGCTGTGTTCTAGAAAGCATGAAAGAAATAAACTTCAGTAGTGTTGATGATCAGAGCAGGAATGCAGTATAGTTTAAGAAAATGGTTCTTTTTCTTGTGGGTTGCTATTTCTAATTTTTTCTACATGGAATATGTCATATTTGTGATCTAAATTTGGATTTCCTGTCTACTTTTCTGCATTTTATTCTCCTGAAAAAGCACACTTTCTGGAAAAAACCTGAGTGCCCGAGAACAGATGACTGGTTAAAGAAACTTTGGTATATCTACACAATGGAATACTATGCAGCAGTTAGAAAGGATGTAGTCATGAAATTTGCAAACAAGTGGTTCCACATGGAAAGTATCATGCTAAGTGAAATGAATCAGAAAGAGCGGAACAGACATAGAAAGTCTGCACTCATCTGGGGAATATAAAGTAACAGAATGGGAGACGAACACCCAAGAATAGTTGAGGTAAGTACCAGGAGGTCTGCTCCACGGCTTAGAAGCTGGCAGCACATGCTGGGGGAGGGGGGGGGGGACGCAGCTAGGATAGAGAAGGGAACACCAAGTAAAAGGTGTTTGGAGGATTTGCTCGGGATGTGAGATGCGTGCTGAAAGTAGACTATAGACCGAACATGATGGTCACTCAATACCTCTACTGCAAACCACAACGCTCTAAAGGAAAGAGAGAGCAAAAGGGAATGCCCTGCCATAGAGGTGGAGTGGGGTGGGAGGGCTACTGGGTTCATTGGTGGTGGAGAATGGGCACTGGTGGAGGGATGGGTACTTGATCATTGTATAACTGAAACCCAAACACAAAAATTTGTAAGTCTACAAAAAAAAAAAAAAAGAAAAGAAAAAGCAAAAGCACACTTTCAGAGTGGAGAGTTCCATGTGTTTCATTCATTTAACTCAACAAGTATTTTTCTGGGCCCACACTGGAAGGACTCTGTGAGTAGCATGTATTTGTGGTCTCAAGTATGGGGAAGCTTTATTTACCTTTCCTTTTTCTTTCCTTTTGGTTTTGGAGTCACACCAGGTGCTGCTCAGGGATAACTCTTGGTAGGATCAGTGGACCATCTGGGGGTAACCAAGAACTGAACCCAGGTCTGTCACATGCAAGGGAAGCACCCTACGTGCTATACTATCTTCCCAGGTTCCGGTAAGGGCAGATTTAATAACACTTAGTATAAGGGGGTGGAGCGATAGCACAGCGGTAGGGCGTTCGCCTTACAAGCGGCCAACATGGCCGACCCGAGTTCGATTCCTCCGCCCCTCTCGGAGAGCCCGGCAAGCTACTGAGAGTATTTGATATGCCAGACACAGTAACAACAAAGTCTCCAATGGAGACGTTACTGGGCCCGCTCCAGCAAATCGACGATCAACGGGAGGGCCTTTACCTTTACCTTTACCTTTATAAGGGGGAAAAAAAACTAATATGGGAAATGAACAGCTGGCACAGGAGAAGTAGAAGAAGATGTTTCTGGTAAACATCCTGGGGCAGACTTCAGCTGAAATTGAGGAAGAAATTTCCAGCAACGGGAGCGGAGATACTTGTCTTGGTCAAGGTGGTTCTGACGACCTTAGTCAGCAAGACACAGAGCTCAGAAATAAGCTTAAAGTGCAGGGGGCTCATTAGTAGTGAAGGGTGTGAATAGACACAGGGGACTCTCAAATCAGTTACCAAACCAAGAGGAAAGGCACAGACCAATTTAAAATGATACCAGGGGGTGGATAGAAAATCTAAGGAGATGACATTTCTAATTAAAAAAAAAATAATTCATGGTGTCAAAGGAAGGGCAGGGGCAAAACAACCATGCTAGTTCTGATTAGAAATGATTTACTTTGATCATCATTCCATTCTTTGAAAAAGCCACAGAGAAAGTGAGCTATATTTGACCTTATCAAAAATTTATAATCATGATATAATCTCAGGTAACAGCAGGATACATTTTGGGGGAAAAAAAAAGACAACACGATCTAAAATACAAGACACCCAGACACCTCCGTCGCCAAGGCAACAGCTGCATATCTCTGTAGGTATTGGGTTAAGTGCCTGACTGCAGGTACTCAGCCTCGTCAAAGGGTGACAAGACACCTGGAAGAACGAACTTCAGAAGTACAACGTAAGCACAAACAAGGCTGACTGTGCCGGCTGCCCTCGGCTAGACATCTTGAACTCCTTAGCTACTGACTGCCGCCTTTTCTTCTCCCTGAATTTCCAAGACTCACCCTCCCAGCCTTCAGCAAACATTCATGGCCCAGAGCTTACGCTTCCTAGGTACCACAGGGGCCGCAGATGCGCATGGTACATTTCTCAGACAGGAGGAACTTATGCAGGCTGGTTCTCAACTTCAGAAAGATACAAAATTTCAAACCCCAAACCCATTCGATCATAGACTCCCTTAAATATCTATGAATCCCAGAAAAGGATTCCGAGCCACTGAAAAAACAAACAAGGAGTCCAGAGCATGTTCTTCACACACAAGTAAATGGAAGTTACAATCAGACAGTGACAGAATTCCAGAGCACAAAATACACAGAAAAAAAGCAGATAGCAGAGCTGGGTTCTATATGTTAGCCTGGAGAAATACACCTGAAGCTAAAATGTCCTATTTGTAAGTCCAGTTAGGGACGGTACTTTTTCCACCCCCCAACTCACAAGCATCATTTTCTTATGTTAATGTAAAAATGAAAGCAGAGGCCAAAGAGCTTGAAAACTGAGCAGAGCATGAAGAAGCAAGACCAGGTTCCATGGTGGACGAATGTGCCAGCTCAGCCTGACGGGAAGTGAAGCGGCCTCAGGTGGGACTCGGGGAAGGGGCAGGCGCCCGGGGCACGGGGCAGGTCTGCGCTGATACTTTATGTTACCTCCGCATCGTATCTGACTGCAGCAGAGAACAGCGAAAAGGCATTCTCCACAGTGATGCCTCTCTTGATGATGTGCTGGCAGAGTCTCTTCAGTCTGTTTTCACAGTAAGACGTTGCCAAGTCCAGGAGACCTACAGGTGCAAAGAATGGAGGGTGAATGGAGCTCAAGGCGATCCCCCTCACCAAGAAACATACACATTCCGCTTTGCTGAACCAAGTTCTGTAGCTGAACCATTATCTCTGTGATGACACTCTGAATTTTACTAAGGAAATTAGCTTTTTTATGCCTTACCTCCCACCCCACCCCCCAACGTCCCACATTGTAACATGGCTTTTACATACTTCCTTTTAATATTAAGGGGGGAAAGGGAACTTCCCACCTCATGTTCTTTCTAAGTGGGATGCTAAGATCTGTTAGCAACTTTGACTTAAGTTCACAGTGGAGCTGCAGCCATACTACAGCAGGGAGAGGACTAGCCTTGCATGCGGCTGACCTGGGTTCAATTCTCTGCATCTCATATGGTACCCTGAGCCCCACCAGGAATAATTCCTGAGTGCAGAGACAGGAGTAACCCTGAGCATTGCCAGGTGTGACCCAAAAGCCAACCTCCGCCGCCGCCCTTCCCCCACTAAAAAAGAAAGTTCACAGTAAAAATCCATACTTAACCAAGATAATATTGCTTTTAATGGCAGGAATCAAACCTGGGACATCACACATGTGAGGCACTTGCTCCAGTCTTAAGTCATGCCCTAGACCCCTATAATACTTGTAGCACTATCCTCCCGTTGTTCATCGATTTGCTCGAGCAGGCACCAGTAACGTCTCTACTGTGAGATTTGTTGTTACTGCTTTTGGCATATCAAATACGTCATGGGGAACTTGCCAGGCTCTGCTGTGCGGGCAGGATACTCTCAGTAATTTGCTGGGCTCTCCAAGAGGAGTGGAGGAATTGAACCCGGGTTGGCCACGTGCAAGGCAAACCCCCTAACCACTGCGCTATCACTCCAGCCCCCCTATAATACTATGACATGAAAACTTTTTCAAACTCTGTTAGTTTGGTTTGGTTTGGGGGCCACACCCAGTGATGCTCAGGGCTCAAACCTGGGTCAGACACATGCAAAGCAAATGTCCTGCTTGCTGGACAATTTCTCTAGCCCTTAAAAAAAATTTGTTTTGAAATTTAACTTAATTAACTTGGTTTTTGGGTCACACTGGGTGATGTGCAGGCATTACTCCTGGCTCTGCAGTCAGGAATTACTCATGGCAGTGCTCAGGGGGCCGTATGTGATGCCGGGGCTAAAACCCAGATCAGCCACATGCAAGGCAAGTGCCCTACCCGCTGTATTATGACTCCAGCCCACGTTTTTTTTCCCCCTAAAGCCATGGTCAAGGTGCCAGGCCTGCAGAAGTAAACTTAACCCCTTGAGGGCGAGGAGGAATATTCTGAAGGGGCTGTAGTACCTATGGCATCCTCGGGCGGCAGGTCAACGGTATCCGTGTAGAGGTACTGCAGGAAGGCACGGTACACAGGGTAGGAAAATTGGTCTATTTCTATCACCTCCTTCATGTCCTCGTTCCAGTAAGACTGGAACATAGATCGAAAGTGCTCACACCTGCGACAGAAAAGCACAAGGGACTCATCCATCAGAAACCAGACAGAAACATTTCAGCTCCTGAGCACACCCTCCTCCCCTCGCAGCAGAGCCCTGGATCTCCAGCACGGCCCCCTCAAACAGTCTCTGAGCGGGGAACTTCTCCACACTCCCCTTCCGGCTCTGATGAGAGCTTCCTGTTTAAGTGCTAAGAATCTTAGCGGGTAGCCCTGGGCTGTGGCACATGTGGCAAGCCATGTGCCTTGTGTGTGTGAGGCCTGGAGTTCCAGCCCCAGCACTGCATGGACCCCATGCTCCCTGGACCTGGCCCTGAACAGCCAAGCCCCCAGTACAAAATCCGCACCCTGGGCAGAGCCCTCTGACGCCCCCACATCTGGGTGGAGTTCCTATTTTCTTTAAAGGAACTCCATGAAGAAGAGGCACCTGGGCAGACCCAGCACCCCTTACTTCCTGTGATGGTGCTTCTGTGGGAGAATCACACACTCATGCCGGTGCTCACAGGGGGCTACACGTTTTCATAGAAATGGGCTGGGGCACTGGGACCCACACAGCCAGGAGACCGTGAGCAGGCCAGCTACCACTTCCACACCCCCAGTCAGCTTTTCACTAGCCTGCCTTCTAAACAGGATTTTGTACAGATATTTTAAAGCAGCCTTTTTTTTTTTTTTCCAGTTCTGGGAATTGATCTAGGGTCTTAAAACATGCAACCATCAGTGAGCCACCATGCTGACACTAATACACACCTTTTATTTTTTTTTTTTTCTGGTTTGAGGGCCACACCTAATGGTGCTCAGGGGCTACTCCTATTTGCTGGCTAGTTTTGGTCTTGAACATTCAAAGCTGCATTCACAAGGGAACTCTGGTTTTTACTTTTTGTCTTTTGGTAACACCTGGCAATGCTGGAGTTACGACAGGGTCCAGGAGACCCTATGTTGTGGTGTGGAGTTGAATCAGGGTGGCAGCTGCCAATGCCCCATGTAAGGCAAATGCCTTCCTCCCTGCCCTCTGTCCTTGCTTTCCAGGCCAAGATATTAATTTTCAACAATGAAATTCAGGAAATTCAGAAAGAAGAGCTCAAACTCTTGGACATGTCTTCAGCATCTAAGTGATTACATTTGCTTGTTTCATGTGTGTGCGTATTTCCTTCTTTTGTTTTTTGAGGTATAGGGCTCAGTTCTGGCTCTGTGCTCAGGGACCACTCCTGGCGGGCCTGGGGGACGATATGGGATGCTGAGGATTGAACCTGGGTTGGCTCCATGCAAAGTAAGCGCTCTCCTGGCCATACTAACGCTCTAACCCACGTCATCTGCATATTCTTATAACTGTTTTCAAGGTGAATGGGTTCAGGGCTAAGCTGACTGCTGTTCCCTCAGGAACAGAAAGATGAAAATTTTTCCCTTTCCAAGTAATGCCCTGAGCATTGCCAGGCGTTACCAAAATACAAAAAGTAAAAACCAGAGTTCCCTTGTGAATGGAGCTTTGAATGTTCAAGACCAATACCAACCAACAGTTACTGCACTCTTTACAACAGGGAGTTTGGCAAAAGCTTGATTTTAATTAAGAGCAAAAGGTCAAATGCAGGAAATAAATGCTGAGTTACTGTCCCGAGGCTAAGACAAAATCACAGAGCAGATTTACTGACTGTGCTTCTGCTTCAATACCAGTTCCAAGCAGAACGTGCAAGCATTCCATGCCACTTCAGGCCGACAAGGGCTCACCCCAAGGCAGGGCCAGCCAGAGCTGGGGCAGGGGCACGCGCCCAGCACGGTGGCGCCCGGCAGCCACATCACCAAGGCACAGGTGTGCATGTATGTCCTGAGGGACAAAGAATCAGCATGATGACAAACCTGACAAACCGCTCCTCTGTGACACATCAGACCACGATGGCTCTGTGGTCGTGGGGTATGTGTGTGCGGGGGTGGGGAGGGGTGGGGTTTATTTGTGTGCAAAGTCTGACTGCATAAAATATGGAAGAATAAAATCCGAAACATTGTTAAAATGATAAGCAATTAGAAATAAGTTTTACACACAAAATTGAGTCTTTTCCTGCTGCTGTTCCCCTACGTCGGAAGCTAGGGTGTTGGGCACAAGACAAGTGCTCAATCCTGAGCTACATCCCTAGGCCTAAAGAAAGGCTGCTGTAGCTGTTTTTCAGCCATACCTGATGGGGCCCAGAGGACCACGGGGTCCTGGTCTGCAAAGCAGCATTCCAGGCCTTTGACTGTCTCCCCTGGCCTCACAACTCAAAACTGGCACGCTGAATTGACAGAGAGGAGTTACTCTAAGAAACTTAACATCACAGAGCTGGACCGCCAACTTTGTGCAATGAGTAAATTTAATGAAAAAAATTTATGAACTAAAAAAATCTTAGGAATTATCTTTATAATCAAATGTCTTTGTGTACATATATCCATAATCAAACCGCTTTTTTCAGCTAACATACATCTCTCACTCTCTATAAAAGGAGAACACCTTTTGTAAGCCAAATGTTAACTTAATTAAAAAAAAAAAAGAAGAGGAAGAAGAGAGAAGGGGCTGGAGTGATAGCACAGCAGGCAGGGCATTTTCCTTGCACATGGCTGACAGGGCTTTGATCTCCAGTATTCCATATGGTTTCCGAACACTGCCAAGTAATTCCTGAGAGCAGAGCCAAGAGTAAGCCCTGAATACTGCTGGGTGTGGCCCACAAACAAAACCAAAAAAAGAGGAAAAAAAGAAAAAAAAAACTCCTGTAGAATGCAGATTAAAACTACAAAACAATCCACACTATACTAGTATCTTTTTTTTTGGTCAACACTTCAAGTCAGGCTGCTCAACTCAGCACAAGGTATCAAACCTCTAATGTGTATGTAAAGGAGAATGATACAGTTTTGCTTCAGAAATGCAGTACTATCTTGTACCACATGTGGTTTTTGCTCGCTAAATGGAAATGCGTGACCAACAATTTTTGGTTAAATTGACGATAATTATCTGATTATCAACAGTAATTCTACAATAAATATTTTTTGGTTGGTATGTGGGTCACACCCAGCAGTGTTCAGGGCTTACTCCTGGCTTTGTGCACAGGGATCATTTCTGGTGGGGCTTTGCAGGACCACATGGGATGTTAAGTATCAAACCCAGGTCGGTCATATAAGATAAATGCTATACTAATGCTATACTTATTGCTATACTATACTATTGCTTTGATCCCCGAGAAAAAAATATTTTAAATCATCAGTGACATTTGGAAAATAATCAGTATTATGAGAGTTTTTAATTAAAGCTATTTCTTATCATAATCCATTTTGTGGAATAATAGGGACTGCAAAAAAGGAAATAAAGTCATTGACATCTCAAGCTCATGCAAAAATACCTGATTTTCAAAACAGCTTTGTGCACATGGATGAATTTCCCATCAATCCGAAACTTCAGGTCAGCAGTTTCTGGACTATCAAATTCTTTCTTTAGTGACTCTGCTACTGTTAAAAAATCTTCATGTTCTGAAAGCAACAAATATATTATTAACAGAAAACTCAAGAATTAAGATTTGAAAGCTTTCAAAGGATATATAATCCATTTTTCTCCCCCCCCAAAAAATCATACCTTATTTGACAAATCAGTTACACTGTATTGTAAATATTCTGCAAAAGTAAACTACAAAAAATAAGTACTCAGGAAAAAAATAGCAGTCTTATAGGCCAAATCATTAAAAAATACAGAGCTGGAGAAATAATATACAGGTTAAGGAACCTCCCTTGTAGATGACTGGTTAAAGAAACTCTGGTAAATCTACACAATGGAGCACCATGTAGCTGTTAGAAAAGATGAAGTCATAAAATTTACATACAAGTAGTACTACATGGAAAGTATCATGCTAAGCAAAATGAGTCAGAAAGAGAGGGACAGACATAGAAAGATTGCATTCATCTGGCGAATATAAAGTAACAAAATAGGAGACCAACACCCAAGAATAGCCGAGGTAAGTACCAGGAGGATTACCCCATGGCTTTGAGGACAGCCACACATGCTAGGGGAAAAGGCAGCTCAGATAGAGAAGGGAGCACCAAATAAAGGTGTTGGGAGGATCCTTCCAGCATGGGAATTCATGCTGAAAGTGGATTATAGACTGAACATGATTGCCACTCAATGCAAACCACAGCACCCAAAAGGAGAGAGAACAAAGGGAAATGCCTTACCACAGAGGCAGGGTAGAATGGGGAGGGATAGGGAGTGGAAGGGATACTGGGATCCGTGGTGGTGGAGAATGGGCACTGGTGGAGAGATGGGTACTTGATCATTGTATAATCGAAACGCAAGCACAAAAATTTGTAAGTCTTCAACTGTACCTCATGGTGTTTCACTAATAAAAATTTAAAAAAAAAAGAAGCTGCCTTGCACATGGTGGACCTGGGTTTGATCCTTAGCACTAAATATGGGGTCCAGGGTCTCTGCTGGGAGACAAGATGTCACTCCTTGATTGTACTTGGGGAGTCTTATGGTGCCAGGGACTGATACTGGGGACCCAACCAGAGTTGACTGCATACAAGCCAAGGAGTTTGGACCACTGTACTTTCTCCTGCCCCTCTGTGTGCTTTATGATCAAAGTCTGCAAGGAAACGGCATCTGGCTAATTTCGGGACTGGCGCCTACAGCCCCCCCCCACTCCCACAGTGGAGAGTTCTCTGCGCTGCAGAGCAAGGTAGCTAACCTCCAACAGTGGGTGTGGTGTCCCTGCCCCCTACACTGGGTCACCCCTGAAATACAGAAAGAAAATGACTAAGAAGAGCAGGAATCTCGCAGTCTAAGTGGAAACCCCACCCATCTCTCCTCCCTTCTCACTCCCAAACCCCAAGCTGTCTCTGAGGACACTGAGGGGTTTCCCCTTCTGCATCTGGTCGGAGTGTTCAAGGTCACTCTTGCCCCATCTTGGTTTCTGGCAACAAGTACTACAAATCTTTTCAAAGAAGAAATATTCTTCAGAGGGGACATTTCAATACTGGACTTTTTCTCCTGACAGGTTTTTCTCCTTACAAATCAATAGTAAGGGGTGTATCACTGTAATCCTGTTGTTCGTCGATTGCCTCGAGCAGGCCCCAGTAATGTCTCCTTCATCCAAGCCCTGAGATTTTAAAAGTGCCACATTCGAGGCTCTTTCAAGGTCAGGAGAACGAGACCCATCATTGCTACTGGTTTTTGGCGTATTGAATATGCCACAGGGAGTTTGCCAGACTCTGCCATGCGAGTAAGGGGTGAGGGGAAACAAACCATTCTGATTTTCAATCAGTGAAGTTTTCAATCAGGGAAGGAAGGAATATACGATAAATTTAATGAGCCTATTTTTTCCTGAGCTTAGCATTATAAAAATGAAAGGATATTTGTTTGGAAAAGGATGCTATACAGAATTAGGACGTTAAGATGGGGGACCAGAGAGATAGGAAGATGGGCAGGATGCTTGCCTTTTACTCCACGGACCCAGGTCCAACCCCAGGCAGCCAGTTTGGTCCCTGATTCCCATCAGGAGTGATCACTGAGCACAGCCGAGTGTGGTCCCCAAATAAAAAACAAACAGAAATACTGAAGATGAGACGTGGGTGACAGTGGGCAGGCGTGGTGAGAGGTGGGGGTTGTGCAGCATCACGAATGCACCCCACGCCTCTGAACCATACACTTTAAAGGGACAGACTGCCCGCTGCTCTTCGCCCTGAGAGTGGGCATGGAGGCTCACAGGCTGGGTGGCAGTGCTAGAGACCAGAGGTCTAAGGGGAAGAAACTTACAAAACTGAGGCCAAGTGCCTCCCAGTCGCATCTGCTCCCACTGAGCCAGCCCTGAAGCACCTCTCAACAGAATGAAAGTGTGGAAGAGTCAACAATGCCTAGAGAACACTTTATATATACAGACAGAAACAACAGTACTCTGCAGGCAGAATTGGGGGTAGGACACATATATGCCAGAACTGAAACAACCCGTGACCAGCTAACAGCAGAGAGAGACAGGCCAGTAGGGCAGACCTGAGATCTTACCCACAGACAGGAGGCGCCATGAGACGGCAGGCGTGGCGAAGCAGGCGAACACGTCGTCTGTGCAGGAGAAGTGGGTGAGGTGGGGCAGGATCACGGACTGGCCCCGGCACTGGCCCCACATGTACACGTGTCCACCCTGGGTCTTGGCGGCAGAGGTGTGGGCAGAGTGGCAGGCTGCAATCTCTACCACCCTGGAAAGTTTTCAGAAAGGAAAGAAAAGGCACATCATTCCCTTCTCACCGATGCCCACGGCACAGCACAGCACAGCACAGCACACGGGGTAAGTTCACAGTTCATGCTCAGAACAGCCCACAGACAGCCCAGCTGCAAGATCAGGGTCACACACTGAGCTGAGTCTTCTTTGCCTGGCCCCCTCCTGACATCACTTTTGGTGAGAATCATCATTTGGACTTGAAAAAGGGAACAAAATAATAAAGGAATAGACACTGACAAAATGTCTTGATTGTCTCGGGGGATTTGACAGTAGCAAAAAGAAAGAAAAAAAGGAAAAAACCCATCTTCATATTATTATTTTCTTACAAATACAACTTCCTCATAACCCTTACTAGATCCCCACAGGCTCACTGGGCCAATGAGCGCACATCTGGGGCCTCTGAATTCTGAACATATCAATTCAAATGGACTCTGGCTCAGACTTAAGCCTTTGCTTAGAGAGGGTCCCAAAATCAGAAGTCATCACTCAAAAGCTCAGCAGTGTGGGTTAATAAACACTGAGCATCTATTCCGGCAACATGCTTTACAATCAACTCAATACTGAAACAGATCGTGTCCTTCCAAGGAGCATATCTTAATGCTCTAAAAGCTATTTTACCAGGCCAGAGTGACAGCACACTGGGCAGGGTGTTTGCCTTACACATGACTGACCCAGGCTTGATCCTTGGCATCCTGTATGGCCCCCTAAGTACCACTGAATATCACCAGGTGTCGCCCCAAAACCAATACAAAGGGGAGGGAAGCTATTTTACTTTCATACTAATTAGACAGCAAGAAGTCTGTGTGAAGGCACATCTCTGTCTACTGATCACAGGTTACTTCAGTGAGATGTACTAGAATCCTGTCCATTCGTGCTCAGTCTGACTGGCACGTCAACTCTTTTGTTCAAAGGAGAATGTTCATAAACAGAGGACTTACGAAGCCAAATACCACAGCCCTGGCGCACCTCCCCGAGGCCCTGGAGCACATGCAACCCCAAGACCAGGTGCGGTCATTTACCTTTCTTTCTCCACCATGATGTGTGCTGGGCTTAGCAGGTTATTTTTATTGCCAGTTCCCAACTGCCCATACGTGTTAGCTCCCCAGGCATACAACAAGCCCTCATCGGTTAGTGCTAGAGTGTGTGCATAGCCGCAGACAATCTGCAAGTAAATTGAAATGGTTACCACAAACAGGAAAACAGGAAGGACAGGGGCAAAAAAAAAAAATCTATGTAATGATTCCAGCCAGCTCCAGCAGAACGCCAACACCTCGTCAGGCGGCGACTGACATTTTCTGGAACATTAAAAAAAGATCAGAGAAGCTGAAATCTGAGACTTGGGATCTTCCCGCCCCTCCACCCTCACCCCCCACCCCTCGCCAACTTCTCAAGATGAATGTGCCTCTACCATCAAGTTCCTTCTCAGGGGAACTCAGGGACAATATAACACTTAGTAAAGAGTGGACGAGGAAGGCACGAAAAATCGTCTGCAAAGATATCTTCTGAATGAATCCCCACTATTCCCCAAGGACAGCAGGGTCCCTGGGTGGGTGCTGGCAGCTGGGATGGGTCACACATACCTGGTTGACGCACACGCTGTGCAGAGCTGCCACTCTCACCGGGGTCAGCTGATTGCCATTATTGCCCAGGCCTAGCTGGCCGTTGCCGTTGTAACCCCAGCCATAGACCTTGGGAGAGAAGGGAGAAGAGAGACTTCTGAAGGGGCTAGTGCAGGGCAGGGAGACAATACAGGGTGAAGGTGTGTGTCCTGCATTGCAGGTGGCTGACTGGGTCAGACTCCTAGCACCGCCTGGTCCTCTGAGCAGCACCAAGCATTGCAGATGGACCCTGCAAAGACCCAAGTAACACTGCACCCTGCATCCTCACATCGAGCTACTGGCGTGATTGGCTAGAATAGCCAAAAGAGGCCCTTGGGGCTGCTAGGAAAGACCCCACCACCCTCCAACAAACATAAAACAAAAGGGGCTAGTACAACAGATGAGTATGTGAAGAAACTGCGGGATGAGGGGATGGAGTTGAGGATATGGCTTAGTGTTAGAGCATTTGTTGCATGTAGGAGGCCCTGGTTTCAATCCCGTGAAAAAAAAAAAAAAAAAAAGGAAGGAAAGAAGGAAAGAAAATTGTGGTATATATTCAGAATGGAATACTACTCAGAAAAGAGAAAACTGCAATTCACTGCAACTTGGATGGAACTGGAAGGTGCCAAGCTAAGTAAAAAGAGTCATAAAGAGGACAAATACCGATGATTTCACTCACAAAGTAAGGGAAGAGTGAAGGCAGAGAACACGATGCCGTGATTCAGCCAGCACAACCGGGCTGGAGGGGTGCAGAGACACGGCAGCCAGCGGCAGGCAGGGGCAGGACGCCTAAAATACTTACACTTTAATCACTTTAATAAGAAGGCGGGCTGGAGCGATAGCACAGTGGGTAGGGCATTTGCCTTGCACGCCGTCAACCTGGGTTCGACTGCTCCGCCCTTCTCGGAGAGCCTGGCAAGCTACCGAGAGTATCCCACCCACACGGCAGAGCCTGGCAAACTCCCCATGGCGTATTCGATATGCCAAACACAGTAACAACAAGTCTCACAATGGAGACGTTACTGGTGCCCGCTGGAGCAAATCAATGTACAACGGGAGGACAGTGCGACAGTGCTAATAAGAAGACGGAATAAAAGCAGCTAGTTGCAGTGGAGAAATAAAAAGAAAGTCACCCAGCTTCGATAGGGAGCAGGGAGTTGGGGGGGGACAGGGGACAGGGAGACAGCGGAGAGAAGCAGCTCCCTAGGGAGGAGTGACTGACAGTACTGTCAATCCCAGTACCTCAGGAAAAATTGTTTTTAAGGAAGAAAATGAAGTCTGTGCAAACCTAAGCTTCTTCACTGCAATGCTGCTCTTCTCTCTTCCCTGTGTGATGAGAAACAGATACCTACACAGAAGGAGTGCGGCAGGGTGGGGATGCCGGAACCTGGCATTAGTTCTGATCCTATGCCTTAACTGCACAGCCTTGGGCAACTCACAGATTCTTGCTTTATACATGAGAAGCAGTGGCCCTTTAACAGTTTACTCAGCACCTGCAGTGTGTTGGGACATTGTGGAAAATATTGGGTGGACTCTTTGGTCAGAGGTCTACAGGCGACAAGTGTTGCAACAGAGAAGCGATGACGGACTGCAGGAGCAGAGAGCAGAGGGGAGCGAGTGGAAGCTTCAGGAACACTGTTCAGCATGGAGAGGTGGGCAGGGCTGGAGGCGCCCGGGCAGTGGGGTCAGGATGCCAGAGGCAGGCTCAGAGCGAAAGAGGACAGCACAGACACAGGCAAGGCAGTGGCTAGTGGGGAGCAGAGTCTAGAAGGAAAAATGACAACCACGGCATGAAATTCCCAATCAAATGCCAGGGAAAGAGGAATGCAAGATTTAACGGCAGAGCTAAGTCACGTGATCAGATCTGCTTTTGGTAAAGATTACCCTAGCCACAAGCTGGAGCAACAGCACAGTGGGTAGGGCGTTTGCCTTGCAAGTGGCCAACATGGCCGACCCAAGTTCGATTCCTCCACCCCTCTCGGAGAGCCCGGCAAGCTACGGAGAGTATCTCGTCTGCACGGCAAAGCCTGGCAAGCTCCCTGTGATGTGTTCGATATGCCAAACACAGTAACAATTGTCCCAATGGAGACGTTACTAGGCCCGCTCGAGCAAATCGATGAACAACAGGAGGACAGTGACAGTGACCCTGGCCACAAGAAGGAAGGGGAGTGGGGAGTGTGAGACCAGAGGCAGAAAGGTCACTCAGATGACCACTCCTCAGGAAAAAGAGGGACAGTGACAGGGACGGGCACAGTGGTGGCAACACTGGGACCAGGACAGGGAGAACTGGGTAGGCTGAAAGTTGCAGATGGAGGCCAACCTCCCACCCTCGCCACCATGTAAGTTCATTCATAGGCCCTGTTCCAGAGACTCAAATAAATTTTGAAAGAGATCAACTAGCTGCAAAGAATTTCTTGAATACCTGTTCATGGCTGAGACCTCTAGGAGGATCTCGGAAGCCGGGGGCAAGCCAGCTACTGCCCTAACAGTCTTGGTGGACACGCTCAGTCCCCAAAGCCACCGCCATGGCTCCAGCTAGACTGCCCAGTTTAATATTCTGGATTTTCTGGAGTACACAGCCATTATCTGTGGCCACAAGACATCTCCAAACTCTACCTCACTGACATCCCAGTAGGAGCACACCAGATTGGGTGGGAATGTAACATGGAAGTCAACCAATCTCAGAACACAGAAGCCTTAATTCACAGTAACAGCATAAGAAACCCTCAGACAAGGGCTTAATGTCCCCATGGTGAGACACAACAATTTTCACAAATTTTCTTTTACGAAAATAATTTTTGACTGTTCTGGAAATATTTTTTGACTGTTCCATTAGCGATTCAGTGGTAACAAGCAATATAAAATGATTATTATGGGCTGCTACAGGGGCAGGCTTGAGGGAAGGCTGGGGAATTGGGGGCAGTGATAGAGGGAAACATAACGGTGATGGGATTGGTGTTGGAATACTGAATGCCTACAGCAAATCCTCATAAACAACTTTGTAAACTACAGTATTTAAATAAAGTGGAAAAAATAAATTTAAAAGTCACAAAGGCAAATATGGCAATTCGCCCAAGTCTGGTGTGGGAGGGCAGCGGCCAGCAGAGGGGCAGGCCTCCATAGTGTTCAATGGTTTACGGTTGCCTGTGGCGCCTTGGGGCAATGTCCTGACCAGAGTAGAGTAAAGGTGTAGCTCAAACAAGAAAGCCGAGATGTGTGTATGTTGGGGTGGGGGTGCAGCGGCAAGATGTGTATGGGGGGTGGAGGCAGGGGCTCCTACATGACAACGTATACAGCAAACGGGCTCCAGTGGGACTCTCCAGGCCAAGGGAAAACGAGGGCTGAACTTCGGGTACTAACGAGAACTGGTTAAATGTGTCAACAGGTTTCAACTTTTTGTCCAGAAATTCAGCAATAGTTATCAAAAGACTTTCCGCCCTTGAGCGTATATTATTATAGAAGTGTAGGGATGGAGCTTAACACCTGTGTGTGTGAAGCTCACGGCACCCCACCCAACGGCTGTCAAAATATGTAACAGGAAGTGCCATCAAGATGGTCAGGGGGGGAAGGCACTTGCCTACGCTACTGCCAACTCTGGTTTGATTTTAGGGCATTACAGATGGTCCCCCGAGCAATGCCAGAGATCCCTGAGTACAGAGGCCAGAGCAGGACCTGAGCACATATTGGACTTGTTCCCAAAACAAAAAACAAGCAAGCAACAACATATGTAATAAAAAAACTCTCTGACCCAGAAACCTTGTTTCTGCAAACTTGCTCTTTTTACTATACACACACACACACACACAGAGAAAAAAATTTGTGCAACATTGTACGACTAAGAACAACTGAAATGCGTATGTGGGTTTTGTGATAGAAATCTCCAGGCTCTCATGGAGTCCAGGATGGGCGACCTCCCTGCATCTTCCTGTTCTTCTGGGAGTCTGACAGTTATGTTCACAAACTGCCTCTGGCACCATATAGGCTCATTAATGGCCGTGATCCAGAAACTGACAAATCTCCCAAGAGAGCAACAAGCTACACAGATGCCTCTGGACCCTGAAGTTACCACCCAGTGAAAAACTTAACTCCAGATGTATCACCTTATTTAAAATTTTAGAATTCCTGGTCCAATTATCTCACTCTATGCCACTGATGTACTGAGAGTAGCACACCATAATCTGATGGGACGTAAAGTAGAAGGTGACCAATCTCGATCAAAATAAGAAAAAGTTTTAGCAACAAGGCTCAACCTGAATAGCATGTTAGTAATCTCTTATACAAGGGCTCAATGGCTCCAGGATGAGATGCAACAATCTTCACACACTTTCCTCTGAGGAAACTTTTTGGGGTCATTTTTAGCGAATTATTCATAATAGGCAGTACAAAATAAATTATTTAGGTCCTGCTTTGGGAGTGGGGGGAAAATTCAAAATAATGGTAGTGGGAAAGCGTAATGGTGGTGGGATTGGTGTTGGAATATTAACTGTAATAAATTATTATGAAGAATTTTTATAAAAAAATTAATTTAATTAAAAAAAAGGAAGTGAAAACAACTGAAAAGCACACTAGTGGGTTCCAGATATGGGTCATCTGCATAAGGAAAACCAAGAAGCCATAATATGAAAAGAAATTATTCATGGTTTTGGTCTGAGAAGAATCAGGTAAGACCTATTTATTATTTAGGGAAGATCAAAAATAGCAGACACAATAATTCTGTTTAAAAAGGTGAGTATGAGCCAGAGCTGATTATGAGACAGTTCAAAGGGCTGGAGCACAAGCCTTCTATACAGGAGGCCCTGGTTGAATCCCCAGCATCACCTGGTCCTCTGAGCACCTTTAGTGGCCCAATTACATTAACCCATATATAATTATAGAGAACAGTCTAAAGCATATAATCAAGAGCTATTAACAAGATTGAAGGAAATTTTCTCAGCTTGCATCTATTTTACTTGTTTACCTTTGTTAAAATAATCATGATTGAAAAATTATATTTAAAAAATTTCAAAACATTTAAAAATTTTTAAATTATATTTTAAACTTATATTTTAAAAAATTATGGAAAATGTATACTGAAATAGAGATGTTAGATGACTATTTCAAATATTTTAGAATCATGCAGATTGATTTAAAAGTACCAGATTGATTTAAAAGTACACTAATATAGTGTGACTTTAGAATCTGTCAGGTTTAACAAGCATTAGCACTCCTCTGCAGGACACCACCACTGTGCTGGAACAAGTATCTCTGTCAATTCTGTGCCCCAAGGCTCACAGAGGAGGCAACAGGCCCACAAGAGCTGAAGTTGCAAACAGAACAATTTCAGTGAAATTTCCACTAGCTCAAAGGTTACCAGAGTAGAGAAGGTTACTAAAAGGTCTGTTTGTGAGGCTGGAGCAATAGCACAGCAGGTAGGGCATTTGCCTTGCACGCGGCCCACCCGTATTCAATCCCCAGCATCTCGTATGGTCCCCTGAACACCGCCAGGAGAAACTCCTGAATGCAGAGCTAGTAGTAATCCCTGAGCATTGCCAGTGTGACCCAAAAAGTCACTAAGTAAATAAATAATAAAAGGTCTAACTGCTTATTTATTTTCTGGGCTGGAAATCAGGCAAAAAACAAAAACACAACAAAATCCAAAAACTGATTAAAGACTTTGTACTTATTAGTCACTAACTGCTTGTAGACACCATCAGCTAATTTTAAAGTCACAGTTGACCTTTCCTTTGAAAGAAAAAGGTTGCACCAAGTGCCGTAACCCATAATAATGAAAAATGCTTAGAAAAATTAAGCATTTTGATCTTGTCTCCCCCCCTCCCCCGCCCCATTAGAATCTTTATTTACAGGTAAATCTGGCAGTTTAAAAATTTTTGTGCTAAGAGGGCTGCAGTGATAGGACAGCTGATAGGGTGTTTGCCTGGCAAGTGGACAAGCCAGGTTCAATCCCCAGCATCCTATATTGTCTCCCAAGTCCACTGGGAGTGATTCCTGAATACAAAGCCAGGAGTAAGCCCTGAGTACTATTGGGTGTAGCCCCCAAACAAACCAATAAAAAAACAACAACAATTCGTGCTGAGGAGCAAATATCCTTTGGTTAGTAATCCATCAGGAACCAGTGAGCCATCAAAACAAAACACTGGTCCTCCCACAATCTACCCAGGCAGCTCAAAAGAAGGAGGTGGAAAGAGAGGGGAATGCAGAGAGCTTACCTCACCATTGTCCAGAACAGCCATGGACGAGGTCTGGCCGCAGGCAATGCCCACCACCCTCTTGATGTGTAAACAGTTTGTGACTTTGCGAGGAGTCGGCTGATTTGCTGTAGAGCCTGAGCCCACTTGACCACAGTTGTTGTAGCCCCAAGCAAACACCTGCACACAAGAAGGGGAAAGAAGAGAAAGTGAAAATAATAAATTCTGGCATGGGGAGAAAGCACAGAGGGCGCAGCCTGGTGTGCACAGGGGCCCTCTATCAGATTCCCGGCCCCGCGGGGCTCCCCGAGCACCACACACCTTGGCTGCCGTCCAACACTGCTGAGTCCGAGCACCAAACCACCAGGTTTAAACCACCGGAGAATAAAACACTTCAGAAAGTCTCTTTTTGGGTCACACCCGGTGATACACAGGGGTTACTACTGGCTCATGCACTCAGGAATAACTCCTGGCAGTGCTTGGGGGACCACATGGGATCCTGGGGATAGAACCCAGGTTGGCCGCGCGCAAGGCTAACACCCTACCCACTGTACTATTGCTCCAGCCCCACACTTCGGGAAGTCTTACAATGCGCCAGGGGCTACAAGTCCTTTACATTCATTAATGTGTTTAATCCTCATAGGAACCCTGTCATGTGGCTCTGGCGAAGAAGCTAGTATCATGTTAACTTTATTTAGTTTTGTTTGTTTACTTTTGGAGTCATGCTCAGCTGTGCTCAGGATCACTCCTGGAAGAGCTCAGGGGGCCATACATGGTCCTGCGGACTGAACCCAGGTTGGCCACATGCAAGACAAGCACCTTATCCACAGTGCACCCCTCCCCCACCCCATCTCCACTTTGCATGTGGAAGGGGAGAGAGAGAGATGGCAAGTGACTTGCTTGAGGTTCCAACACTTGTAAGTAATAAGAGAGAAATTCGAAGGGAGTGTCCTGCTCTATTCTACTGCCTTTATAATTACACCTTGTGAACACCCTCGTGCACACCAGCAGGAAATGATCAGTAACACAGGAAACAGGGATGTGAAAAATTGACTTATTTTGAGGGGCACAAATACTTCTACCTCATGGAAACCTCATGAAACCATATTATGTGCTTTCTTGTCTCTCTACTCAACAACATGACGTATTACATAATCTTTTACTGATAACTCAGAATCATCTCAGCTGTTAATTATCAATCAGTGTTCCACATCATACACAGTAATGCTCATAAATATTAATGAGACATATTTCCCTATAGAAACAACATCAGGTCATGAGGCTATTCTTAGTGTCAGGGTCTCAGAGTTCTCTACTTCAATCCCGTTCCCTCCTACTCAGCTGGACTCCATTTACTTTTGGCCTGTGAGTTGCCAAGTCTGGAAATAAGGTTTCCATGAAAAGACACACAGATGACTGAGTAGCAAGGATTAAAAAAATCAAGTTATCCTAACAAACAGGAGTGTGGCCAGAGTGAAAAGGGACAAGGGATACTGGAAGCAAGAGAAACCTTGGCTCTAGGAACCCAGCCTAGTGCTTCTCCCCACCATCAGACACCCCTCAACCCCAACTGAACTTGCCCTTCACCTGCCAGTGAGAACTGTTTTCACAGTTCTTCCTTCTGTCACCATTTTCTAAGTTCACATGTGTCACGCTGCCCAAGGCAACAATAGTGAAACCCATCTCTTAAAATAATATGTGCTACAGATCTGTCTCACAGGTCCAGAAGTGGTAACCCGCTCACACTTCCTGGAGGTGGGGTCGCAGGAATATCCAGAATCCTCATCAGCATCTAGCACACTTTTCCAAAGCAGCACATTTAAGGGTAAAGTGAGATTAAAATAAAGCAGGAATACAGGCTGTACAAATAAGTGAATGCTATCTAATTTTATCCATCATTTCTCTGCACTTCTCAAACATCCCTTGTTCCCGTGAAATGCAGTTCTTTTATTTTAAAAGAGCTCAGGGAAATGAATGACGACTCTGGTTCCACTAACGGATACATGGGTTCGGCAAAAACGGCTTCAGCACATCAGTCACGGAATGTGGGATCCCTGCACTTCTCCAGTTTCTTCACCCACAACCTTCCTGCTTGGTAAAAATCAATGTAACATCATGGAAGGACTTCAAAAGGGAACAGCATTTGAGTTTTAAAAGTCATGGTGATATAAGGAAGACTGGACAGTCAAGTCAATAAAACAGTCTAAGGAGTAAGAGATCAAGGCAATAGTCCAGGAAGATAACAAGGTCTGAACAAAGGTTATGGAAATGAAGAAAAAAATAAGAAAAGAAAGCAGAATCATCAGATTCTGCTGGCAAATAAATGGCCCAGCTCCGTGACCAATCTCAGAGATGCTGCGGGTGGGCCAGCCCAGGCAGGGAGGCCCAGTGCTCCACCCACACCCAATCTCTGCCTGCAAATAAGCAGCTCAGCTGAGACGCCATGCTGCTAAACCATCTCAGCAGGAGCAAGACAAGATAGATGGGAGAGTTGTGTTGAAGCCCCCTAAGCTCAGTGAGTAAAAACAGTAACACAGAAGGCACAACGAGCACCCAGCAGCTCAGTAAAATACTCGGTAGATTTAATAAACATCATTTTGAGATACAGGTTGTAGCCCGCAATATGAAGTAAATTATTTTGCTTGCTAAGGGAACATCTTGGGGAGGGAGGAAACTGGGGACAGTGGTGGAGAGATCACACAGGTGGTGGGATTGGTATTGGATCATCCAATACTTGGCATGTTTGTATTATGAACAGTTTTGTAAGTCACGTTATTTTAACAGTTTCAAACATTTTTTAAAAAAAGGCAACATCAGTAGGACTGGCAGTCTTTAAGATAAGCATTCAGGAGCTGGAGTGATAGTACAGCCGGTAGGGCATTTGCTTGCATATGACTGACCCAAGATTGATCCCCAGCATCCCAAAGTGATCACTCAGTGCAGAGCCAGAAGTAAATCCTGAGCACTTCAGGGTATAAACCCAAACCAAAACAAAACAATAAAGCTTTGAACTTAGAGAATGAGCAGGTGGTCCTATATCCACTGAAATGTTAACTATTTGCTATGACATTACATCATCTGAAAAATAAGCATATATAGCAAAGTAGCAAAATTAATGGGGCCGGAGTGATAGCACAATGGTTAGAGCATTTGTGCTAGACGTGGCTGACCCAGGTTCATTCTGGGCCCCCTAGATGCCCCCTGAATTCAGTCAGGCGAAATTCCTCAGTGCAGGGCAGGAGTAACCCTTGAACATTGCCAAGTGTGGCCCCCCCACTCCAAAAAAATTCAAATTAATATGCAAAATCTGTTGCATTTCCATACACATTTATGTTGCATTTCCAAATACCTGGAAAACACAGTGGCACAGAATACATCTGGCAAGAAGTTTAACACAAAATATATAAAGAAATCATAAAACTAAACAATTTTTAAAAAAAAAAAACTAATGAAAAATGGGCACAGAGAAGGGAGAGAGAGAGAGAGAGCGCTCGCACGTGCACAAGAGAAGGGGGGGTAGAGAGAGAGAGAGGGAGAAGAAAGTACCTGCCATAGAGGAAGGTGGGGGTGAAGTCAGGGGGCAATGGGAGGGAAACTGGGTATATTGTTGGTGGGAAACGCACAATGGTGGAGGGATGGGTGTTTGAACACCATGACTAAAACCTAATCATGAAGGATCTGTTATTCAATTAAAAAATATTAAAAAAAAAAAAAGGAGACTGGAGGGATAGCATAGCAGGTAGGGCATTTGCCTTGCACCGGCCAGCCCGGGTTCGATTCCCAGCATTCCATATGGTCCCCCTGAGTACCGCCAGGAATAGTTCCTCAGTGTATGAGCCAGGAGTAACCCCTGTGCATTGCCGGGTGTGACCCCAAAAAAGAAGAGAAAAAAGTGAACAATACTACTTGCTAAAAAAAATGAAATTCTGCCACTTATAGTAATAGTGACAGACAGGACACACTGAATTTCGAAATAAGTCATTTGAAGAAACACAAACACCATACAATTTCACTCAGGCGTGGGATATAGTGAAGACTAACAGACGACTAAGTTAAACAAAAATAAACTTCTGGACTATTAATTAGTGGTTCCCAGAAAGGAAGGAAGAAGTCCGGATCTAGGAGGGGGAGTAATCCAAGACAAGGAGATGAACAAACTAATTTTCAATGTTGCATACCTGAAACCTACAGAGTATTATAATTCAATGAGAAGGAAGGGAGGGAGGGAGGAAAAAGCCCTCTGGGACCAAGTAAAAACTGTTCAACAGAAACATTATTTTGTCTTTTAAAGAAGAAACAAGGAGCTGTGGAGATGGTTCTAAGGCCTGGAACACGTTTCACCTGTGGGTGCTTCGGAGTTGAACCACAGTACACCTGATCCTCAAGCACTTCACTAGGGAGGAGTCCCTGAGCACCACCAGCTGTGACCCAAAAACGAAAAGTAAGTCTACTGAGTGGTCCTGATCATAAAACACAGGTTCTTATTAGAAGACTGTTCTCATGTTTTCAACTATTTTCTCAATATGCTAAATACAAATATGATCTTAAAAACCAACTTTTTGGAAGCAAGGCAAAATGGAATATGATCAGCTATTCCATTGCCTTTAGATACCACTTGGACAGAACTAAGAGGTGTGACATTAAGCAAAACAAGTCAAAAGGAGAAGGACAAACGTAAATGAACTCACCTACTTGAGGTATATAAAGAAATTAAAGTGAATGACTGACTTGGACCTACTGAAAACCAAGCCGTGGGCTTTGCGGAGAGAACTGAAAGAACAGAACAGGGGAGTGGACCGAGAGGCACACTGAAAGTGACATCAGGACAGCGCCTCCAGCACGTTGGTGCTACTAAGGTGTGGCTACCAAAAGCATTTGCATCCGTACTACTATAACCAGGCCACCTTAATAACAGTAAAATATTTTTAAAATTTAAAAAGCAAAGGCATGCTCACAAAAGCTTAACAGCAGAAACAAGAAATAAACTGATACCCGGATGCATATATGCTTTGGAATATTATTCAGCGTTTCAAAAGCGGGGAGGAGGGAAGCAGAAAGTACAGTGGGCAAGACACTTGCCTTGCACGCAACCAATCCAGAATTGATCAACAGCACCCAATCTGTTCCCCTGAGCACTAGAAGAATGATCCTCAGCACAGACCCAGGAGTAAGCGCTGAGTACTGCTGGATATGGCCCCCAAACACACAAATGAAAAAGGAGGGGTCGGGAGCTAGGACAGCTGTTAAGGAACATGCCTAGCATGTGCTCAGTCTAGCTCTGATCCCTGCACCCTTCCCTGCCCCAGTGCCGACGGGGCATCCTGTGCATCCTGAACAGCAGGGCTCAAGCAGCGTCGCACCTGCAGGCCCTCACTCACGCAGAGCAGACAGGCTACTAGCTGAGAACTGCCAGGGGACCCCGAGTCGTCCTGAGCACTTCTTAGGAGTGTGTCCTTCCCAACCCACCAGCACAAAAAAAAAAAAAAATCCAACCCCAGAAAAAAAAAGAGGAAATTCTGAAACATAATACAATGTGGCTGAATCCTAAAGACATTGTGCTAGGTGAAACAAGCCTGTCACAAAAAAAAGAAAAAAAAAAGACAAATCGTGAAGGATTGCACTTATATGAAATAATAAGAATAGTCAAATCAGAGACAGAGTAGAATGGTGGCAGCCAAAGCTTCAGGGAAGGAGGGAGTGGAGATACTGTTTAATGAGCTCACGGAAAGAGAAGAGTCCTGTGGGTGGATGGTGAAGGTGGCATATTTCATCACAACTTAGAGACTAATCCAGAGCACTTACCTCTCCATCAGCCGCCAGAGCCAGAGAGTGATGGGAGCCACAGGCGACTTCAACCACTTGCTTGATCAAGAGATTGGTACAGACCTGGATGGGGGCAATGCCTTGATTGGTCGTCCCGTTTCCAAGCTGGCTATATCCGTTGTGGCCCCAGGCGTAAACAACTCCATCTATACATGACGGCCACACAAAGAATCAGCTCTAAGAAGACATGGCAATCCCTGCACTTGCCTCCCCAGAATCTGCACAACTCATTCCCCAACCCTAATTTCTTACACATTGTCTCCTCATATAATGTAACCATTGATGATGAAGGGTTGGGGCAAGAGGAATGGATGAAAAAAGATGGAAAATCTATTAAAGATGGGACTTGGAACTAATACTGATAGCTTTGGGCCAGGAAGTCAAAGTATACAAAATGTACACAACTGAACAAATTATATACAAACTGGATCTTCTCAACCCTTTGTCCATCTCAATAGTTTCCGTCCTGGGTACCATGAAAAAAGGGCAGAAAACAAAGGAAAATTCAACACTAACCTTTGCCATCCTTCACCAAATACCAAGTCTAACGGGATCCTTGGTATGTGTATAATTTGCAAAGTACAGAGGAAAGAGGTATACTATTTGAACAATTATACATATTTGAGAGCTTCTCTCTGGCTGAATTATTTTAACAACTTTTAGAAATTTTTATGAGTATACCATGATTTACAAGGTTACTCACAATTGAGTTTCAGGCACACACTGTTCCAACACCAATCCCATCACCAGCGTCTTCCACCAATATCCCCTTTCCCTTGTATTCCCAAGCCTGCCTTTTTAAACCTTTCAATCTTTTTAGGATTGTGTAAAGTGGCTTTTCTGTTCTGTGTCATCTCTGGAAGAATTATATGTGTCTTTTTTCCTAAAGCATGCCTGAGTTTCAGGAGTAACATCCCCACGTTACACTCCTGTTTCCTGCCTTTCTCAGGAAACAAAGCCTATTAACCTAGGGAGGACACCTAGACCCACTAACAACAGGATGCAAGAGCTGCTCTCACACTGCTGGTTCATTTGATCCCAACACACTGAAATCTCTTCCAGGGAGCTCTGAAGAAGGTCCGAGGTATGTTTCACAACTCCTTCTCTTTATTACAGAAATTATGACAAAAGGAAAATGGGGAATTTTATCTTTAAGATGAGGTTCATAATTCTAAAAGTTTTTTTTTCAAAAGCACAGTATCATGTAAAAATTATAACAGGATAAAAACGTTCAAACAGGGGGCTGGAGAGATAGTACCCTGGGCCAACTTGCATGCAGCCGACCTGGGTCAGCTTTGATTCCCCAGCATCCAGTAACAGTTCCCTAAGCCTCAGCAGGAGTGATCCCTGAATGCAGTCAGGAGTAACACTTGAGAACTGACCAAAAACAAAAACAACACCAACAAAAAAACAAAAAAACAAAAACAAAGAAGAAATGTTCAAATGGGAGTTTTTCTAATATACAAAAAAATGAACTTGGACAGATATACATTCATTGTTTTTGAATAAGAAAACTCAGTATCAAAGATGCCCATTTTTTATATAAATTTTTAAATTTTAAAATCACTGTCACTGTCCTGTTGTTCATCGATTTGCTCGAGCGGGCCCAGTAACATCTCCATTTTGAGACTTGTTACTGTGTTTGGCATATTGAATACATCATAGGTAGCTTGCCAGGCTTTGCCGCGCGGGCGAGACACACTCAGTAGCTTGCCGGGCTCTCCGAGAGGGGCAGAGGAATCGAACCTGGCTCGACCGGACTGGCTGCGTGCAAGGCAAACGCCCTACCACTGTGCTATCGCTCCAGCCCATTTTAAAATAATGGTTAAAAATGCTTTGAGTTACTTTCTGGGCTAGACAAATTAGAAAGTCCACTGAGAAGAACAAAAATAGGGGTGAAGTGATAGTACAGGGCATAGGGCGTTTGCCTTGCACATGGCTGAACCAGATTCAATCCCTGGCATCCCATATGGTCCCCTGAGCATCACCAGGAATAATTCCTAAAAGCTGACCCAGGAGTGACCCCTGAACATTGCTGGGTGTGATTCAAAAAGCATTAAAAAATAAATAAATAAAGATAAAAACTCTAAGAAGCAAAAAGATAAAGTCAACTCCAAAAACCAAAACCTATGATGTTTCTAAAACTTAAGTTAATATTATTTTTTTGCTATCAACATTTATTTTGCAAAATATATGCATCTTTCTTTTTGGGGGGAATCACACCCAGGAGTTCTCAGGAGTCACGCCTGATAGAGCAAGGTGTGCCCATATAGGTTACTTAGTTTGAACCTGGTCATACACATGCAAGGCAAACTCATCTGGGTCAGGGCTTATGTTCTTGAAGAAATTTTGAATTATATTTTGTTTCCTTACTCTGGTCTGCTTAGGCTGTCTAGTTGCTTCTGATTCAATCTGGGGAGGTTGTTATGATTCTAAGAATTCATCCATTTCTTCTAGATTCTCCAGCTTAGTGGTATAGAATTAATTGTTCATGGTAACTCTAAACATTTTGTATTTTAAGGTCTCTGATGTATTCTCTACCCCTTTCATCACTTATCTGATTAAAATAGTTTTTTTCCCCATTTTTCATGAGACTAACTTAAAGTCTGTCAGTTTTGTTTGTTCTTTCAAAGAAAAAATAGCTCTTGGTTTCACTGACCCATTGTGTTGATTTTTTTATTTATACGTAATTGATTTCTGCCCTAACTTTTCTCATTTCTTTCTTTCCACTTACTTTGGGATTCATTTATTGTTCTTTTTCTAGTTTATCAAGCTCTGAGGTTGGGTTATTGATTTGAGCTTTTTCCTGTTTCCTGGTGTAACCCTGAGGGCTCTGGATACTCCCTTTAGTCTTGCTTTTGCTGTGTCCCAGAGGTTCTGACAGTTTGGATCCTCACACTTAATAATTTCAAGAAATTTTTTCATTTCTTCTTTGATTTCCTCTGACCAATAGTTAACTGCATGCTGTCTGGTTTCTAAATACTTGAATCTTTCCAATTTTCTTTTTATAGTTAATTTCTAACTTCATGGCATTGTGGCCTAAAACAAAACTAGTTTCTATTTTTGTCACCTTATAAACACTTGAATGAGCCCCTAGCATGTTGTCTATCCTGGAAAATGATCCACGTGCGCTGGGTTGGGGGGTGGAGTGCTGAAGGGTCCTATAGAGGGCTATTCATCCGAGTTCTTCCAATTCCTAATTTAGGGTTTTTGTTTCCATACTGGTGTTCTGTTTGACTGGTCTACCAGTGATGAGAGGGAGGTGTTAGAATTTCCCACTGATGCAGTTCATTGGGTCTATTAGCAGCTGTTTTATAAACTTTGCACTACTTCATTCAGTGCATATACATTGAGGAGATTTAAGTCCTCTTGATCTTTTGATCTCTTAACCAGTATGATATCAATGAATTTGTTCCCATTCCTCTATGAGGATTTTGAACATTTATTTTCCCCATTTGACATTTGTTGTTTATAGGGGCAAGTCAATATTCCAGGCATTGTTGGTTTAGATGCAACAATGTCTCCAGCTGTTGTCTGAGAAAGTTTTATTACTTCTTCATATCAGAGTAGTAACCTTGCAGGGTACAGTGTTCTTAGTTGGAGGTTCTTTTCTTTTTTTTTGCTTTTTGGGTCACACCCCACGATGGTCAGGTTTTATTCCTGGCAGTGCTCAGGGAACCATATGGGATGCGGGAGATTAAACTCGGTTCAACCATGTGCAAGACAAATGCCCTACCCGCTGTGCTGTGCTCCAGCCCCTGGAGGTTCTTTTTGTTCAGTAGCTGAATACCATTCCATTCTCTTCGTGCTTGTGGAGTTTCATTTGAGAAATCTGATGGGGATTTCCTTTGATTTACCTTGTATTTGAGGCTTTTTTTTTTTGGCTTTTTGAGTCACACCCAGCAATGCACAGGGGTTACTCCTGGCTTTGCACTCAGGAATTACTCCTGCCAGTGCTCAGGGACCATATGGGAACCTGGGTTGGCTGCGTGCAAGGCAAATGCCCTACCTGCTGTGCTATCGCTCCAGCCCTGAGGCTTTACTTTCTTTTGACGCTTTAAATGATCTCTGACTCTTGCCATTTTGACTACACTGTGTCTTGGTGTTGTTCTGGGTTCTGTTTGGCACTCTCTGGGCCTCCTGGATCAGCCTACAAGTCTCCCTCCTCACACTGTGGAAATTCTCAACAATTATTTTTAGTACCAGCCCTTTCTCTCTTTCCTTCTGGAATTCTGATAACTTAGAGATCGTACCTCTTGCTATTTTCAAATATATTAAATTTTTTTCACTGGGCCACATCCAGTGGTGTTCTAGAGCTATTCCTGGCACAGTGGGTTCAAGGAACCATACATGGTGCTGAGTATTCAAACCTGAGTCAGCAGGACGCAAGGCAAATGTTTTTGCCTTACCCCCTGTACTACCTCTCCAGACATGAGTAGTGTTGTTGGAGTGGACTTTGCATATTTTGTGGGCGTGGGATGGGGGTGAGGCACAGTTAGTGGTGCTCAGGGACCCTGGGTCTCTACTCTGCAATCAGTCTTGGTGGTGCTTGGAGGATGATCATGGTGTTAGAGCTAGACCTGGGGTCAGCAAAGGGAGCATCTTACTCCCTGTACTATCAGGCCATTTGATTATATGTGTGTGTGTGTGTGTGTGTGTGTGTGTGTGTGTGTGTGTGTGTATCTTCATTATAGTATCCAAGATAGTTAAAAATGCCTGGAGTTTGAAAACAGTTCAAAAAGCTATAATTTCCTATAGACATCATGTTCAAGAAAAACAAGAATTAGAACATCTGTGTTTTAATATGTTTCCTCTAAAAATCTGCCTTAGAATTTTATGATAAGTGAAGGACTAATTAAAAATAGTTGGAAAGAGAGATAGTACAGGAGGTAAGATGCCTGCCTTGCCTGCATCAATCACAGTTTATTCTCCACACAGCATATGGTCTCCCTAGCACCGCCAACAGTGATCCCTGAGCACTGGCAGGTATGTCACCAGCAACCCTCCCCACCCCCAGCACCCAAAAAACTCAAAGACATGTTAAATTAAATCAGGTCAAATGGATGACAAACAGAACCAGTCATCAAAGCAGTAGCTGTCTGAAGGAGCCAGTGTACAGCTAGAGGCATGATTATGCAGCAGAGGGATAATCGCTTCATTATGCTCAACACCAGTTCTACTTCACACTAGATGGTCATGCTCAGATCTATCCCTCAGCTAGAGAAAAAGGAGTTGAAAGCAACCGAAAATCTCAATTCTAGACGTGTGGCAGTATTCATGAAAGCTGTGATTCCCCAGTCTACAGACAAAAACTTGGAGGGCCGGAGTGATGGTACAGCAGAGAGGGTGCTTGTCTTGCACACAGATGACCCACGTTTGACCCAGCACCACATATGGTGCCGCGCCCCAGCAGGAGCAAACCCTGAGTGCAGAGCCAGGAGAAAGCCCTGAGCATCGCCAGGTGTGGCTCCAAAACCAACCAAACAAAAAATGCAGGGAAACTATCTGCCTCACAAATGCGATTCCTTTGAACTGATGGACTGTGGACCACTGCTGATCCAAAGATAAATAAAGATTGAAAAACCGCTGCACACTACAGAGAACAACCCGCGCCCCTCCACGCCCCCCTCCCCCCATACAGAGGGCCTGACCTAGACAGGGAGCATGAGCAAAGGTACCTGAAGGGGAAACTGAGGTTATATATAACACGTTTTTAGAGTTCTGGCTGCCCACAGTGCAGATGAATTACCAAAAATGACCGTAATCTCCTTCAGAGTGCTTGGGGAGGTAGAAAGAAATAAATGATGATGCCACAGAGACTGGCACACATCAAAAAGAACAAGAACAACCAGTGCTGGTGCAGATGTGGGGAGAAAAGAACCCTTATTCACTGCTGGTAGAATGTCCACTGGTCCAGTCTTTTTGGAAAACAATGTGGGCATTCATCAAAAAACTAGGAGTTGAGCTTCCACATGACCCAGCAATACTGCTCCATGGAATACACCCTGAGTGTCCAAAAACATATTGCAGAAAATCATCTGCACTCCTATGTTCACTGCAGCACTATTCACAATAGCCAGAATCTGGAAACAACCCAAGCTCCGGAGAATAGATGAGTGGATAAAAATACTATTGTACATCTACACAACGGAATAAGACGCAGCCACCAGGAAAAATGAAATCATGAAATTTGCTTACACATGGATGGACATGGAGAGTATCATATTGAGTGAAATGAGAAGGGAAAGACATAGAAGGAAAACACAGTGTGAGGGTAATACACAGGAAAATAGAAACACGGGTCAGAAAGACTGGCCCATGGTAGGAAGCTTGCCACAAGTGGAGAGGGGCAGTCAGGTTGGAGAAGGGAACAATGTGACACTGATAACTGGAAACGACTGTGGACAAGAACTGAGTACTGAAAGGAAGTAAAGTGATATGTATGATATCCATTCAGTAACAGTATTGCAAACCACAGTACCTAAAAGAAAGAGAGAGAGAGAGAGACAGAGACAGAGAGACAGAGAGAGAAGAAAAAGTGACATAGAAGTAGGCTGCAGGGGCAGGGCACGGAGAGGCAGGTGGGAGGGAAACTGCAGACACTAGGGGTGAGATATGAGCACTGGTGAAGAGATGGATATTGGAATATTGCATGACTGAAACTCAATCATGAACAACTTTGTGACTCACAGTGAATCTCACAGTGAATCAATTTAAAAAGATAGTAATAAATGAAAGTCAAAAAAAGGAGAAAGAAAGAGAAGAATCTAACCACATGTATCCCACATTCTTTTCTTATGATACCAACACAAATGAGAAGGATTCTATTACCTGTGTTTAAACAAGTGTACAAGATCTGAAAACTGCCATACTACCACACACACATTGAAAAATTAAGATAGAGGACCCCTTCACTTGCTATATTTAATCTTCCACAATTTACTGAGTGCCATCTAAAATCCCAGAAATCTGCTTGATTAGCAAATCATCCATGACTGTTTAAGAGTTAACCTTTCATGTACTTCCCCACAGAAATGAATTAACCCATGGCATCTGAGAGTCCTCTCTCCACTCCCCTGCCCTTAGTTTACTGCTCAAGTTCCACAAACCACAAGCTGGCACTGGTCCCTCTTTACCTTCAGTGCTGAGAAGAACATGGGGTCCACTCCCATAACTAAGGCTCTTTATCTTCTTTCCACACAAGGCTTCTAGCTTCTTGGGGACGAGCGTACTCTGATTATCTCCAGTACCAAGACAGTTGCTGTAGTTCAGTCCAAATACAAAGACCTTAAAAGTAAAAAATAAATTAAAAAAAATTTAAAAAACCTTCTGCATCTTTGGGCCTAATGTACTTGACCAGAAGACAAGCTGAAGTTTGGTTTGAGGGCTCAAGAGGGAGGAGGCGGCAGAAAAAGTTAAGCTTTTTTCTCACCAAGTCAGAAAAAGTTAAGCTTTGCCGACAGGCCTCAAGTCTGAAGGGATCTGGCTATTCTAAAAACCTCAAGAAAAGAAGGGGCGGCAGGGAATGAAACTGAGAAACCAAGCAAGGCACAGGGTTCAGAACTTCGAGCTCTCTTTATCCCTCATCATTTCTCACTCTTCACACTGCACATTTTAAGCCCAGATCCCAAAAAAAGACCCTAACATGGGTTCTGAGAGACTCGTACCTCATCATCGTCAGTAACATACAAGGCTTCATTGGCTGAGGTGCCAAAGACACACGCCTTCCGAATAGACGCGATCTCCTGAGGCGAGAGCAGGGTGAAGATTGGCCACTTCCCGACATCCACCATGACTCTGGCTTCAAGCAAGTCTATCAGTGAGCCGGCATCTCTGCTGTATCAGACAAACAGGAACCCCAGGAATACTGGTAAGACGAAAACAACATTTAGAAAGGACACTTCCCAGGACGGGGCGATAGTACAGCAGGTGAGGCCCTCGCCTTGCACATGCCGACCTGCGTTCAATAACCAGCACCCCACACGGACCCCAGAGTCCCACCGGAAATCATCCCTGAGCTCAGAGCCAGGAGTAAACCCTGAGCACAGCTGGCGTGGCCCATCCCCACCCCTCAAAAAAGATGATTCTCGCAAAGACAACAAGGTAATTCCAGAACCTTCTGTGCTCCCTGGGTGAAGAATCACACGTGCTCCCAGCAAGAATCGGGTCTGTCCTCCGCCTTCACAACTAGGGCTTTTTCTGTAAGGGGAGGGAAAACTTGTGAGAAACCGTGATCTCTCTTGATCAGTAGCAAGTCAGTGCTCAAGAATGAGGACGGCAATCAAGACACAGACAAGGGGTGAAACTAGGTCTCTCATTAGTTATCCCACTCTGTGCCTCTCCCAAAGTACTGAGACAAAAGTTTGAAGTTACTCTATTAGTTCGTCTAAGTTCACTAGGTCCACGTGTAGGAATGAGAATGTGTGTTTTGTGTGTGTGTGTGTGTGTGTGTGTGTGTGAGAGAGAGAGAGAGAGAGAGAGAGAAAGATGAAAATAAGAATAGCATCTCTCTCTCACTACCAACCTCCATGATGCATAAAAGACTGCCCTGACCCCTCATTTAAAAAAAACAACACTGTCCCACTGACCCACTATTTAGTGATGGGAATCAAATTCCATGAACAGTTCAGAACCAGAAACAGTAGCAAGCACTGGCCTACTATTTACTTGGGCGAACCCACTCTTGTTTTCTCATCTTTGCTCATATTTCATTGTACTTTGCTGACTGCCAGTGCCACCATTTCTCTGAGCTCGTTAAGGTTCCTCAATATGGTGTCACCACAGTCGATCACTGTGAGGTTACAGAACTGGGTGGTGCTGGTGGAGCCTTCCGTGTTGCCTGTTACGTTTTTTCCCTTACCTTTCGGGTCACACCCAGCAGTGCTCAGGGGTTACTCCTGGCTCTGCACTCATAAATTACTCCTGACGGTGCTCAGGGGACCAGATGGGAGGCTAGGGATCAAACCTGGGTCAGCCGTGTGCAAGGCAAACGCCCTACCCACCTTACTATGGCTCCAGCCCCCCATACTGCAATTTCCACTCATTGAACTCAAGGAGCTTCTATACAACTCTTCCACTGTGTTTACTGTGCTCTGAGGGTGAATCTTTATAGTTTGCAAGGAATTGGGCTGGGTGTTGAACTTTTCCTTCCCTGCCAGTCTTCTGCCAGAGACAGCATGTGTGTGCAGTGTGAGGTGTGATGAGCAGAGCTGCTGCTTGGATGCAACAAGCAACCACAGAAAGAATTATGGGCACAAGGTATGGATACTGGCCTGCAAGGTTGAATGAGCCGGCAGAATGTCTGATGCGGAGGCTAACCTGCTGAGATGACCCAGTCATGATCTTTTTCATGAATAAATTGCTAAAATAAATTCCTAAAAATGAAATTGACAATTCAAAGTCTAATAGCTATTCTATCATTAGTAGCTATTTCAAACTGTCCTCTACTGACTTTTCATTCTAGAATAATTAGAAGTATTTATGGATTATTTATAAATTATTTATTAACTTGTTTATAAATTTTGTACAATTTATTATTTATGAACAATTACAATTATTTATCATCCAATTATATGAATAATTAGAATTCTAATTATTCAGGGGGACCCTGAATAATTAGAATTATTCTAGAATAATATAAATTATTGCTTATAGAATTATAAATGCATTAACAACAGGACCAGAGTCTTAATTCAAATTTCCATTTCTGCTAAGCAGGAAGTTGGGCATCATATTTTACTTATATATTTTTAAATCACCATAATTTTTTTGGCCTTTATTTTTTTGGAGGGGGTCATATCCAGTGATGTTCAGGGGTTACTCCTGGCTCTGCACTCAGGAATCATTTCTGGTGGTGCTTGGGGATCATATGGGATCAAACTCAAGTCAGCCGTGTGCATGGCAAATGCCCTACCTGCTGTACTATTGCTCTTGCTCCCCATCACTGTAATTAAAAAAAAAAAATCACTGCAGGCTTAAAGGAATGGATCAGTGGCTTAGAACACTTGCCTCACAGGTATACGATTAAAAGTTCAATCCCCAGTGCTACCACATGCACCATGTATGATCCCAGCAGCTCTGCTGTCTATGATTCCTGAAACCATTGGTCATACAACAGCCAGACATGTGAAAACACCACAACAAAGGAATGAGACCCCTCACACACACACACCCCAGCAAGCACAGCAGTTAAAAGGTATGTGAGGGGCTGGAGCGATAGCACAGCAGGTAGGGCGTTTGCCTTGCACACAGCCAACATGGCTGACCCAGGTTCGATTCCCAGCATCCCATATGGTCCCCCGAGCACCGCCAGGAGTAATTCCTGAGTGCATGAGCCAGGAGTAACCCCTGAGCATCGCCGGGTGTGACCCAAAAAGCAAAAAAAAAAAAGAAAAAAAAAAGTATGTGAGCATCCTGGCCAGGAAGCATGACTCCCAGTGACCAGATGGGTAATGATCAGCGCAGCAAACTCTACAACCAGAATGTAAGTGAGCATCACAAGAGCAAGACCCCTAGTGAGTACACGTGCAAACACCAAAACTAAAGAGGTGCAACCCTGGCAAGAATGACAGCCAAGGACATATGCATAGAAACTGACTTGCAACCCTTAGCAGACACAACTAAAACTTTCAAAATGCACAAGCATTACAGCAGGCATGTGGTGACTGCAATAACAGTACCAACAATTTAACGCAGGAGAGAGAGAAATTAACTAGGCGAGAGCACCTGCCCTGCAGCCAGGTATCATGCACCTGGCGCTGCCCACAGGAGCCAAGCAGCCCCAGAAACTGCTGTCTGAATCCCCTGGAGGCACAAGGGCATGTGATCTCCACCTCCTGCCAGGTGTCTGGCCGCTGGCGAGCTCTCCAGCTAAAAAAGGTAATCAAGTGCTAGAGCGAGGAACGCAAGCCCCAGCCAGCAGGTATGTCAGCCCCACAGGGATCTGAACATACACAGCCCCCAGAATATGCATATGCAGAACTAAAGAAATGAGAACTCTGGGGGTGCAACTAAGGCAACTACAAATGGGCAACCAAGACCCTGAAACACCACAAATGAGTGCCACCCCTGGTCACAACAATAACAAAGGGAAGGGAGGAATGTAAATCTAAAACTATACAGCCACACCAACACCACTCTAACAATTAGCACTTATTGGGCAAAATGCACCAAGCACTGTTCTCAAGCACCATCTACGCTTATTAATTCATTGAGTCCTCCTTTTATAGACAAAGAGATTTTAAGGATTTATTCATCCTAGAAAGGGATAGAGGCTGGACTCAGAGTCATCCAGTTAGGATTTGGCTCCAGACTCTGCCTCCCATCTCATGCCTAAGAGTCCAAGTGTGATCCTTGCACAAAGTCCCTATTTTACCACTGGACTGTTCCTTTCTCTGTTCTTGATTTATGAGAGCTCTTTGTAAGGTACTTAAATGCTTCTGGATGTAACAAAAGGGATGCTTCTCCCAACCCCACCATGTAACCTGGCTGATTCTCTTACAAAACAGGAAAAGAAGACACAGAAGTGAAACATTGTGTGTACACGAGCAGATAGGTAAGTTCCAAGAAAGCCAGGAAGTATATTTTCTTAGAATACAAACCATATCAAAGCTAGTCTTCAAATTTTAATACCTTATATAATATAGAATGAAAGTTTGACCAGAAATAATAAAAAGAGAGGGGTAGTGAAATTGGATTAAAAATGTAAGTTTCACATTTAAAATAACACCAAGAAATATTTCATCCCAAAATTAAACCATTTCCTGACAGCAGCACAGTTACTATAAAGTCGTTAAGCAGTTACCAGGCAAATCTGCCCTAGGGGTGGGTAATTACTGAAATAAACCAAGCAAACTTTCTTAATAATGGCTTATTATGTGAACTGAGTCAGCCACTACTCAATTCACTGAAGCTTCATTTTACAAGCTATCTCTTCAAAGGCTTGTAATTTAATCGTCATTATAAAAAACAATTCATAGGGACTGGAGTGAGAGCACAGTGGATAGGGCATTTGCCTTGCACGCAGCCGACCCGGGTTCGATTCCCAGCATCCCATATAGTCCCCTGAGCACCGCCAGGGTTAATCCCAGGGTTAACCAGGGTTAACTCAAGTGCAGAGCCAGGAGTAACTCCTGTGCATCGCCAGGTGTGACCCAAAAAGAAAAAAAAAATTCATAGGATTGAAGTGATAGTATAGCAGGTAAGGTGCCTACCTTGCATGTGGACAACCCAGGTTCAATACCTGGCATCCTTTATGGTCCCCTGAGCATGTGAGGAGTAATTCTTAAGCATGGAGTCAAGAGTAAGCACTGAGCATCACAGGTGTGGCCCACACCCCAAAACAAAAAACAAAAAACTCATACCACGTCATATCTTACATGTCTATACCCATCATGTAAAGCAAAAGCATTTCCCAAGCTTCACATGGTTGAGAGAAAAGTCCTGAGCTCTCTTATCCTCAGATTTGATTCCTTTTCCCAAATTTTGGGGGGTGCCTGGGTGTCACTCCTGATACTCAGTTAACCTCCTGTTCAATGGACATTTTGATGCTCAGCCAGCAATGTGTCCTGCTTCCACCCAGCAGTGCTGGGAAACAGATCACCAAAGGCAGGATCACACAGTGATCGAGATCTAACTCAAGCCCCTAAGCATGACGTATGCACCTCTGACCACTGACTTACCTCTCGGCCCAAGTAGCTCCAGATGATTATTTTTGGAAAGGGACCACACCCAACCAGTATTGGTTGGTGCTCAGGGCTTACTCCCCATGGTTCTCAGGAGATCATACAATGCTAGAAACTGAGCCCTGGTCTCTTGCATACAACACATAGGCTCAGTCCAGTGAGTCCTCTTTGCACTCCCCTGATTTTTTTTGTCAACCACTGAAGCATGCTACTTTCTTTCTGACACTGGGTCTCCAAAAACTGTTGTGCTTAAGTCTACAATTTTATGTTTGAGATGTAATGAAGAAGCAGGGAGGGGCATGCTCCCGGAAGCACGGGAGCAAGAGCAGTGATGTTGGCAAAGTCCTAGCAATATAATCAAAGAAAGCAAATAAAGAGCAGGAAGGGAGGCACTAGAAATGACCAAGAACCTGCTTTGTTGTAGATGCTTCAGACATCATTTTACTGTCACAAAGCAATGTGCATGTAAGAGATCATAATCTATTCTTAGCAGATAAAAATAAGACTCAAGGGTGA